ATGGGAGATCCGGAGGAAGCTCCTGGCTCCTGGCTTCAGATCAGCCCAGCTCCAGCCATTGCAACCATTTGGGGGAGTGAACCAGGGGATGGGAAGATTCTCTCTCTCCAGCTACCTCTTTAACTCTGCCTTTCAAACAAATAAACAAATCTTTTAAAAAGAAAAAGACATTCTACACAGCTATTCCAACCAAAACAAAATGATACTGGCATAAATACAGTCACACAGATGAACAGAAATCAATAAAGATCGAAGAAATGAATCCGTGCATCTATACAACTTTGACAAAACTGCCGGAAACACAATGGAAAAAAGACAGCGTCTTAACCAAATAGTGTGTGGAAAGTGGCATGTCCATACACAGATAAATCAATGATTTAGTCAAAATGGATCAAAGATCTAAATCTAAGACCATGACATATGAAGCTACTACATGAACTCATTAAGGAAATACTTGTACTCATCGCCATAGGCAACTTTTTTTTAAAGAATCCAAAGGCATAGGAAAGAAAAAGCATACAAGTGTGGTTTTATCAAATGTAGAAGCTTCCGCACAGCAAAAGAAATAATCCACAGAATGGAGACAACCAATAGAGTGAGAAGATAGTTATAAACTAGTCATCTGTCAAGGGACTAATATCCACAGTATGTAAAGAACCCGGAACACTTAACAGGAAAATGACCAACCCAGCTCACAAATGGGCACTGGCTCTGAGTTGACATTTTGTCCCTTGATTGGCTTTCAGGGATATGAGTAATTATTTGTCCTGATTCCACAAGTGTGTTTTCGTTCTACATGCCCATGGAGCTATCTGGAAGGAAAGAGATTTTTAATGGCAGATAATAATAATAAAAGGAGCCTCTAATATGAAAATCACACATGGACGTACAGGGCCCCACTCAAGTAGCAGTTATATATCGTTATGGACACCAGGAAACCAACCAGCAGATCAGCTAGGGGCTGGCGCTAGGGCAGAATATGTTAAGCCTCTACTTGTGGCACTGGCATCCCACATGGGCGCCAGTTCAAGTCTCAGCTGCTCCACTTTTTTTTTTTTTTAAAGATTTGTTTATTTGAAAGTCAGAGCTACACGGAGAGAGGAGAGGCAGAGAGAGAGAGAGAGAGAGAGGTCTTCCACCTGCTGGTTTGCTCCCCAGATGGCTACAATGGCCTGAGCGCCGATTTGGAACCAGGAGCTTCCTTTGGGTCTCCCTTGTGGGTGCAGGGCCCCAAGGACTTGGGCCAGCCTCTACTGCTCTCCCAGGCCATAGCAGAGAGCTGGAACAGAAGTGGAGCATCTGGAACTCGAACCGGTGCCCATGTGAGATGTTGGCACTGTAGGCGGCAGCTTTACCCTCTATGCCACAGTGCCAGCCCCAACTGCTCCACTTCTGATCCAGTTCCCTGCTAACGGCATGGGAAAGAAGTGGAAGCTGGCCCAAGTGCTTGATCCCTGCACGCAGGTGGGAGACCTGGAGGAAGCTCCAGGCTCTTGGCGCTGCGGCTCACTACGCTAATCCTCCGCCTTGTGGTGCCGGCACACCGGGTTCTAGTCCCGGTCGGGGCACCAGATTCTGTCCCAGTTGCCCCTCTTCCAGGCCAGCTCTCTGCTGTGGCCAGGGAGTGCAGTGGAGGATGGCCCAAGTCCTTGGGCCCTGCACCCCCATGGGAGACCAGGAGAAGCACCTGGTTCCTGGCTTCGGATCAGCGCGGTGCGCCGGTCGCCCTGGCCATTGGGGGGTGAACCAATGGCAAAGGAAGACCTTTCTCTCTGTCTCTCTCTCTCTCACTGTCCACTCTGCCTGTCACACACACACACACACACACACCCAAAAAAAAAAAAAAAAAAAGAGGCAGCTGAGGGCCCAGCAGCCCCGCTGGGGGTGTGTGAGTAATCATGCCCGATGTGGCTAAGGACCCTACTCTGCAGGCCTGAAATACAACAAGCAAGCAGCTGAGAACTTGGAGGGCGCCTAAGAACTCAACTGAAACCCGGCGGGCTGGACAAGATTCCTGGAGCCCCAGGATTTCTGGGGTTCAGTTTACTTACCCCTCACTCGTTACTTCTCATCTGTGTAAGTGGTCCCTGCTGCCTTGTTTTACCAAATATTCTCACTGGTAGTGAAAAGAGTCCAAGCCAGGCCTTCCTGCTTCCAGAATTCCACCTCCACTGAAACAGGCTCTCCAGTTCTTAAAATTCTTTCACTCCCTGGTTAAAATCCTTGACGGCTCATGGCCCTCATAGCAGAAGGTACTGGATCACAGGGATGGCCTTTTCTCCTTCGGCTCCCTAAGTTATAAACAACGAGAGCCGAGACTGATGCCATTCTTTCCTCTTGGAAAAGCAAGGTAGGTTTGGCTCAAAGTTTGCTAGGATAACCAGGTGTTCTTACAACTAAAGGGGCAGGAGGCAGCTGATTGGATGCAGCCAAACTCAGCCGCAAACACTTCTCATTAGGCAGCTGCCTGCAGGTCTATTTCAGGCGTGTCAAATTTGAGACACACTCAGCAAAGCAGGGATGGGGCCCTCACCATGTCCTTTCTGATGTAGAAATAGAACCCCACACTATATTGCTAAATGTTCAACAGCTGACCAGGAAATACATGCAGCATACAACATGGAGGGCACGTGAACCTGTTCCTTCTGCATAACCCTTCCTGGAACTTTACACTTACTGAAATGTGTAAAACTTCCCTCGGGACTGGTGCTGCAGCGCTGGCTTCCCACATGGGCGCCGGTTCCAGTCCCCGCTGCCCTTCCTCTCAATCCAGCTCCCTGCAGATGGCCTGGGAAAGCGGTAGATGGCCAAGTGCATGGACCACTGCACCCACCTGGGAGACCTGGAGGAAGCTCCCCAGTCTTGGCTTTGGATCAGCTCAGCTCTGGCCACTGTTGGCCATTTGGGGAGTGAACCAGCAGATGTACGACCCCCAATCCCCCAAACTCTACTTTGAAAATAAATAAAATCTTTAAAAAAAAAAAACTTTCCTATAAGTAAACCCTATAAAACCTTTTAGCTCCTAGTTCTTCCAGAAACCTGTCATTTGATTAGTTAAAACCACCTTGCTCCTCAACTGTACAATTTAAATAAAATCTTGACTATTCTCAGCTGTTGTGGGTGTGTTTCCATGTGCAAACGCACAGGAAAAGAATGCTTCAAATTTATTTTTTTAAAGATTTATTATTTGAAAGGGAGAGCCAGAGAGAGAGAGAGAGAGAGAGAGAGAAAGTCTTCCATCCACCGGTTCACTCTCCAAATGGCTGCAACGGCCAGAGCTGGGTTGATCTGAAGCCAGGAGTATCTTCTGGGTCTCCCATGCAAGTGCGGGGGCCCAAGGACTTGGGCCATCTTCCACTACTTTCCCAGGCCATAGCAGAGAGGTGGATCGGAAGTAGAGCAGCTGGGACTTGAACCAGCAGACATATGGGACGCTGGCATTGCAGGCAGCAGCTTTACCCGCTACACCACAGCGCCGGCCCCAAGAAACCATGGATTTTCTGCCTGGTTACATCACCCCAAAGATATAAGATGATGGATATGTTAATTATCCCTATTTAACTATTTGACAACATATACACACCTTGTAACATTACACTCTATGCTATAAACCTATACAGTTATTTGTCAATTTTTTTTTTTGACAGGCAGAGTGGACAGTGAGAGAGAGAGAGAGACAGAGAGAAAGGTCTTCCTTTGCCGTTGGTTCACCCTCCAATGGCCGCTGCGGCCGGCGCACCGCGCTGATCCGATGGCAGGAGCCAGGAGCCAGGTGCTTATCCTGGTCTCCCATGGGGTGCAGGGCCCAAGCACCTGGGCCATCCTCCACTGCACTCCCTGGCCACAGCAGAGAGCTGACCTGGAAGAGGGGCAACCGGGACAGAATCTGGCGCCCCGACCGGGACTAGAACCCGGTGTGCCGGCGCCGCTAGGCGGAGGATTAGCCTAGTGAGCCTTGGCGCCGGCCCAGTTATTTGTCAATTTAAGATTAATTTTAAAAGCTTCTATGACGATTATATAAATCAGTATTTTACCTACTTTTCTCCACTGTCAGCCACAGCACAACTTACAAATCCATTCCATAGCACCGGTGAAGCGAGTTGGAGAGAAACCTCAGTGCAGGCGGCTGTGGTCAGACTGACCATGGGCTGTTTCTAGAGCATTGTGAGGTCTTCCCACGTCTCAACCAGAGAGCTCAGAGACGTATTTTCACACATTTGTCAGTGACAGAAATTGGCAAACTACCAAAATACCCAAGCCAAGGGGTGACCCTATGCCTGGCTGGGAGACTGCCTGCCCAGCCCATGCAGGAGGTTAGGAGGGCGTGGCACACCAGGCCTCCCGGGATGGCCTGACTGCTGGCAGGTGGCAGGAGCCCCAGGCACATACCCTCCTCCCACCCCTTGAAGGGCCTTGTAATTATGGGTCCTGTAAACAGCTCCCAGGCATGGCTGAGGCCTGTCAGGACCACCTGGGAGGCTACGCAGGCCTTCAAGCTGATTGGAGCAGCTTGGCGGCACCAATATTGGCTTTACCCTACAGAATTAGTGTTGCCCTGAATTAGCTACGCCCCCTCTGCCTGCCCTTTAAAAGGTGTGCTTGACTGTTAAAAAATGGACAAGTTCACTGAAACTTGCCGGTGCTTCTTGTCGAAGGACGCCATCGCCTCACCATCCCGGCAGCGCGGACCTTGCGGGATGAGTCCGGAAAGACCTAAAGGATAAAAGTAGTAACAACAATGTGTCCCACTGGCTCTTTATACGGCTCATCAGATTTATAGGACTTCATAATATCTAATTTTTCCAATGCAACTTGGAGCCATGTTGTTCAAAATAATTTTTATTTTTTATTTGAAAGAGAGAGAGAGAGGTTTCCATCTGCTGGTTCACTCTGCAAATGGCCGCAATGGCCAGAGCTGGGCCAGGCCGAAGCCAGGAGCCAGGAAACAGGAGCTGCTTCTGGGTCCTGTGGGTGCAGGGGCCAAAGCACTTGGCCCATCTTCTGCTGCTTTTCCAGGCACATCAGTAGGGACCGGGAGCAGAAGCAGAGCAGCCAGGACTCAAACTGGTGCCCATATGGCATGTGAGTGCTGCAGGTGGTAGCTCAACCAGCTACACCACAGTGCCAGCCCCTCAAACTAATTTTTGCACATCTGTCAGAAATGATCTGTTATACACCACATGGAAAATGGGTAGTAGCCCTTTGAAGTAGTGATGAGAGTAACAGTTACATCTGTAAAGACTGTTACAGCTGGTGACAGGTGCCAAGGTCTCACGCCTTGTATGTACTACAGAATCCCCTTGAAAATACTACTTTAGCCATCTTATCATTCCTTCACAATGCACTTGTATTATGTCTTGTTCTTCAACTTTTATGTTGAGAGGTCCTTTAGCAGAACAAAATTTAACATAGTATCTTGGTTTTAACCATTTTCACTTTTTTTGTCTCCCAGTTTTCTTTCAATTTTTTTCTTGCAGTTACTAAGCTTATTAAACTTTTCCTATATTCCCATAATAGTATATTATCCTATCAGATATAATATTAAGATGTTTCTTCAGATTATGATGTCCAGTGCTTTAAATAAATGCTCACTTTTGAAGATGTAGTTGGCAGCATTTACTTAAAAAAAATAAAAAGGGATAAGTGATTTTGCAAGATCCCTAAAAAGTCAAGAAAGAAAAGGACCCTAAGCCCAGGGAGAGGTTTCTTTCTTTCTTTTTTTTTTTAAAAAGAGATTTTCGTGGTGTCAGCACTGTGGTATAATGGGCTAAGCCTCTGCCTGCAGTGCCAGCATCCCATATGTGCGCTAGTTCGAGACCCAGCTGCTCCTCTTCCAATCCAGCTCTCTGCTATGGCCTGGGAAAGCAGAAGACAGCCCAAGTCCTTGTATGTTTGTATGTATGCATGTAGGAGACCTGGAATAAGCTCCTGGCTCCTGGCTCCGTATCGGCCCAGCTGTGGCCATTTGGGAAGTGAACCAGCAGATGGAAGATCTCTCTCTACCTCTGCCTCTCTGTAATTCTGCCTTTCAAATAAATAAATAAATATTTTAAAAAGGAGATTTTCACTAATAAAATAATTATACCCATTCCAACACAACCTTACCCAACAGCGCAATTAGATAACCATTTGTATGGAGGGCCAACAAGAGCATCAGCAAACTTCGGTATCAAAGTCCACGAGGATCCTACACGTGAGAATGGATAGACCACGGGTTACAGTTCAACCAACAATCACCTAACTCTCAACTCTGTATGGGAACTGCTTTTTCTCTCTGTACAGTTAACTCAATTTTACTGTCACCAGTAAACACATGTGACCTCTCAGATAATTCCAGAAGCTCCTTGACTTAAATCTTCTAAGATTATGTTTTATCCTCCCTTAAAAAACTGCATACATATGTGCATGTGTGTATATATACATGTGTGTGTGTGTATTTAGAGAGAGAGAGAGAGAGAGAGAGCCCCTGAAAGGCATCCTGGGTTACACTGCAGACCAGGTCGTCTCCTGTGACTTCAACAGTGACTCCCACTTCTCTACCTTTGATGTTGGGGACGGCATTACCCTCAATGAGCACTCCGTCAAGCTTGTTTCCTGATATAACAATGAATTTGGCTACAGCACCGGAGTGGAGGACCTTAGGGTCCATAGAGCCTCCAAAAAGTATGACCTCCTGGACCACAAGTCCCAGTGAGACCACTAGCCGCACTGTGGCCACCAGAGAGAGAGGGGCCCTCGGCTCATGGGGATTCCCTGTCCCCACTCAGTCTCCACCCATTGAGAGCTTCTCCTCTGCACATTTCCCGTCCAAGATCCCCTAGAGCACAGGAGGGGCTTAGGGAGCCCTACCTTGGCAATTGTCACCAGTAAAACCCACTGCACTCAGACAAAACAACAGTCAAAATGTGATGATGGAGGAGAAACAAACACCAAGACAAGAGCACAGTCATGGATGCCTTGGGAATAGAAACACCATACATCTTTTAGGGAGGAAAAACAGGATATTTATTTATTTATTACTTTTTTTTTATTTTGAAAGTCAGAGTTACACAGAGAGGAGAGGCAGAGAGAGAGAGAGAGGTCTTTCATCTGCTGGTTCATTCCCCAATTGGCCGCAATGGCCAGAGCTGTGCCAATCCAAAGCCAGGAGCTTCTTCTGGGTCTCCCACTTGGGTGCAGGGGCCCAAGGACTTGGGCCATCTTCTTTTGCTTTCCCAGGCCACAGCAGAGAGCTGGATTGGAAGTGGAACAGCCAGGTCTTGAACCAGTGCCCATATGGGGTGCCAGTGCTTCAGGCCAGGGCGTTAACCCTCTGTGCCACAGTGTGATTTACAAGAGGGAGCCATGCAATTTCTCTATCGTTGGTCCTGTGACATACAATAGGAACCTGACAAATGTAAACATCTATTTTTTTTTAGTTATAAATTCTACACCTATATACAATATGTGGTGATCAAATTAGGTTACCATTTCCATCTCCTTATATAAAAACACTCTTTATTACAACTTAGTAATTGTACATACTTGAGGGGTATAAAGTGAGATGTTAATTGTGGGGAGCAACTCGGACTAGACTAAGTTACTGGAATTAAGACTTATTCTATGCATCTGCTCTCCCACAACATGGCGCTGGGAGAGGAGTAAACAGCTTCTACACAGTTGCCTCCAGTTCGACCAGTAACCTGCAGGAGCTGATCCTGCTCCTGATTGGAGGAGAGCAGCGTACTCGGCGTGTGGGTAGCAGAGTTGGGATTGGTGGAAGAGGACTATAAAGGAGGAGAGAGACAACATGCACCAGGAACATCTATCTGAAGGAACACCTGAGCAGCCCCCGAGAGAGCCGGCCGGCGGTGTGCCGCTCCCCCGCGGAAGTGGGGAAAGTGGCAGGGGGAACCGCCCTTCCACGGAGGTGGAAGGGACGGTAGCCAACCCAGGAAGAACCAGCAGCAAACCCGAGGAGGGCCGAGCAGACGAAAGAACAACGCAGGGTCCTGTGTCGTTCCTCCGCGAAGAGGGGGAGCGACAGTTAATGAATGTACAAAATGTGTACTGATCAGATCTGAGGAATTAATGTTTCCTCCAAACTAGTATGGTTTGCATTTAGAGTTTTGAGTTCCTGAGCATCCTTCCTTAACATGACAATAATCTTTCTTGCATGGCTATCCTTTATCACCCCCTTAAACTGAGGTAGCCATCAAAGAATGAAATCTATTCAGTGAGGGACCTGCACTGTGGTGCAGCAGGTTACGTCAGAGCCTGCCATGCCAGCATCCAACAAGAACACCAGTTCAAGTCCACCTGCTCTACTGTTATTTTTTTTTTAAAGAGGGCAGGATTTTTTTTTTTTTAATCTTCCAAGGAGTCTGATCCTTCAAGGGGCTTGGTTCTTTTTTAAAAAAATTAATTAATTAATTATTATTATTTATTTGAAAGGCAGAGTTACAGAAAGAGGTAGAGACACAGAGAGTGAAAGGTCTTCCATCTTTTGGTTCACTCCCAAATGGACACAATGACCGAGGCTGGGCTAGGCTGAAGCCAAGAGCTTCTTCCGAGTCTCCCACATGGGTACAGGGGCCCAGGCATTTGGGCCATCTTCCACTGCTTTCCCAGGCCATCAGTAGGGAGCTGGATCGGAAGTAGAGCAGCCAGGACTTGAACTGGCGCCCATATGGGATGCTAGCGCTGCAGGTCAGGGCTGTAATCCTCTGTGCCACAGACTTGCTTTTATTGACTTGAAAGCAGGCTGTGCAGTGAAGCCCCTTTGGATTTAAGAGCACTTTTCTGCTTCCTTTCTTCTTCCTGCTGCAACTGCCATGCCCATAATCCAGCTTCCATTTTCTGTGACAGCAGCACAAGGCGCCTTGCAAACTTCTCCCATCCAGCTTTTCTTCTAAGCTGGCCTTTCATTGGGGGAGCCAGGTGGCCATCCATGCAGGACCATCCTCGGAGCTCTGGGAGGGGTCCGTAGCCGGAGGGGTTGGCAGCCAGGCCACTTTGCTGCACTGCAGCCTCCGAATACTCCAGAGGGCAGTCCCTAAAGCGGCAGGTGCTGCTCCACTTCCCATCCAGCTCCCTGCTGATGCACCTGGGAAAGCAGTGCAACACGGCCCAAGTGCTTGTGCCCCTGTGACCATGCAGGAGACCCACATGGAGTTCCAGGCACCTGGTTTCAGCCTGGCCCAGCTCTGGCCACTGAGACCTTTTGAGGTGTGAATCTGCGGATGGAGGGTGTGTGTGTGTGTGTGTGTGCGTGTCTCCCTTTATCTGTAACCCTGCTCTTCAAATAAAAAAGAAATAGAAACAGGCAGTCTGGTGTGTTTTTGTCTAACTTGTGGACAAAGACTTTTATAGGGAATGTAAAAAATTACTGCTCTTTTGTAATCCAGAACTCATTGTTCAGTATGAGTTTTGATACAAATAAGAAGAAATATTATGAAAAAAATAAAGGAATAGAAGTGTATTCAGACACAACAGATCTGTTACCTCTTTTGACTACCATACAGAACATATAATTAATGAAGGTCCCTATGGCTCCTTCTTTTAGGGAATTCCTGCCATATGGGTTCTTACCAGAAGAAGAAAAACCACAGGAACTAAATAGATAAGAGGAAGGAGCAAAGCATTAATTCAAAGCTCTCATGGAGGATGTGTTATATTAGAATCAGCAGGACTGTCAAAAAATACAATCAATAGATTAAAAATGTCCAAAGTTTATATAAATCAAATCCTGAAAAAATTAAAAGGCAAACTTAAGATTTAAAAATACACATTTACAATCTTTGTAATAGAAAAACACTGAAGTGTGGGCATTGAGGACAGCTGTTAAGACACCTTTTAGGATGTACAGGGAGTTTAGGGCAGCAATTAATCTACTGGCTCCTATTAAACTTGATCATGAACATGATGCTAAGACTAGGAACGGCTGTCCCACTATGTTGATGGTTGATGACAGAGCTAAGCTAGTTGCTCGCAGTCAACATAAGTTGTTGTTAGTGGTAACACCTTTGGAGGCTTTGTGCCAGTAATACAGCATGGCTGTGAATTCACTGATAATGTGAGTTTGCTAGGCAGAATAATTTAGGTGGTATTGGGCCATGGTCAACTATTAAGACTGGACTCCTTCAAAGCTTCAGGGAGCTTGGATTAGAACAGCTACAATCACTAGTGCTACGTGATTGACTGATACACGGGCAATTAATGATTTTAGATCAGTTTGGCGAAGACAGAGTAAGCTGTTATAATTATTCCTCATATGGATGGTATCAGGAACGAGCAGGCTATGAAGTTTGCTATGGGGTCAGAATGGCTGTGATTTGCATTATACCATATCCACCTACTTTTAATAGTACAGCTGCACGGACTATTGATCTGGTGATGCGGGCTTCAATGTGTGTTTTAGGAAGCCAGAAGTGGAGTCCCTGTAAGAGTATTTTCACCATAAATGCTCAATACATGCGAATCATGAGAGTGTTGGATCAAGAATTATTGGTTGAACTCCAGAGTATGTTAGTAGAAAATTTAGTGATGTTTTGAATATAAATTAATGCAACTGAAAGGGGCCATGAGGCTATTAGAGTGTAGAACAGGAAGGTGCGTGTCTGCGTTTAGTAATTCTGTTTGGTTCCCTCATTAGGTGATAATGACCAGGACTGGAATGAGTGTTGCTTCAAATAAAATATAACTAGTTCTGTGGCTGAAAATGTTGTAATGAGAAATGTTTGTGAGGAGTAAGTAGAGTGATGTGAGTGTGTTTTTTCATGTTCTTGTGATGTTGACTTCCTATAATATTAGGGGTAGTAGTCATGTTAATAGCAGTAGGGGAGTCCATTGTGAGTTGGAGAATATTGTTGAAAAGTTTAGGTTATCTTCATTGGGTTCAATTCTTAAAAGTAGTGGGTTGTTATGCTAATTAGTAGGCTTGCATAGTTAATTCAGATTATATTGTTTTTAGAATATCATGCAGTTGGAATGAGTATGATTGTGAGTAGAACAATTTTTAGCACTGCAAGAGGTTTAGGTTGTGAACATAACCTATTTCGTATGCATTGGAAACTAACAGTGCAAGGCCTACAGTGGCTTCACAGGCTGCGAAGACTAGCAGGATAACAGGTATTATAAGTGACAGTGTGAAGTGGGTATTTAAAATTATATGCCTGGCAAGAATAAATAATGATAGTAATATGCCTTCTAAGCATAACTGGGAGAATACTAAGTATGACAGGTAAAATTAATATTCCATATAAGGCTAAAATGTAAGCTATAATAATATTAATATAGATTGAAGGCATTTTGATAATTATGTTAATTCCATAATCTAATGAGTAAAAATCATTTATTTTATTTAAACTAATTATCATATTCAACTCATTCTAATACTTTTTGGGATCATTCATAAGCTAAGCACACAGCTAGAATGGAAATTAAGATTAGTGCTAAAGGCCGGCGCCACAGCTCACTAGGCTAATCCTCCGCCTGCGGCGCCGGCACACCGGGTTCTAGTTCCAGTCGGGGCGCCGGATTCTGTCCCGGTTGCCCCTCTTCCAGGCCAGCTCTCTGCTGTGGCCAGGGAGTGCAGTGGAGGATGGCCCAAGTGCTTGGGCCCTGCACCCCATGGGAGACCAGGAGAAGCACCTGGCTCCTGGCTTCGGATCAGCGTGGTGTGCCGGCCACAGCAAGCCAGCCGCGGTGGCCATTGGAGGGTGAACCAACGGTAAAGGAAGACCTTTCTCTCTGTCTCTCTGTCTCTCACTGTCCACTCTGCCTGTCATAAATAAATAAATAAATTGAAAAAAAAATTAGTGCTATGATAAGTATGAGTTTGAGATTATTTCTTTGTGAGGCTCACAGCAGAGGTAGAATAAGGGCAATTTCCAAATCAAATAATAGAAATGTAATGGCTACAAGGAAAAATTTTATTGAAAATGATAGGTGGGCTGATCCCACTGGGTAAAACCCACATTTGTAAGGGCTTATTTTTCTGAGTAGATGTCTAGTTGTGGAATTAAAAATGTGATGGTGACTAAAATTATTGTAATATATATATTGACAATTAGAACTAGGATTAGCTTAATTTTTCTACCTTAATCCTAAACCTAATTCTAACCCTAAACCTTACTTCTGAACCTTATCCTAAAACAAAACCCATAACTCTACCCTAAAACATAATAACCTTAACACTAAACCCTAAACTCAAAACCCTAACCCTAGCCCTAACCAAGCCCTAGTCCTAACCCTAAACACTATCTCTTAGCCCTAATCCTAAACCCTGTGACTAAACCTAAATCCAAATCCCAACCCTAACACTAAACCCTAACTATAAACACTAACCTTAACCTAACCATTAACCCTAACCCTTCAGCCTAACTCTGCCCCAGACTCAACCCCATCCCCACCCTAACCCTAAACCCTAATCCTAACTCCTTACCCTAACCACCCTATCCCTAACCTTAACTCCAACCTCTCCTAACACTAAACACTAACCCTAAACCCTACCCCTAAACTTAAACCCCAGTCTTAACCCTAACCCCTATACCTTAATCCCTAAACCTAATAATAACATTTACCCTTAACCCTCAGACCCTAAATCTTACACTAATCCTTATCTTTTTTAAAAAAAGATTTATTTATCTGAAAGTCAGAGTTACATAGAGAGAGGAGAGGCAGAGAGAGATAGAGAGGTCCTCCATCCGCAAACGGCCGGAGCTGTGCCGATCTGAAACCAGGAGCCAGGAGCCAGGAGCTTCTTCCGGGTCTCCCACGCGGGTGCAAGGGCCCAAGGACTTGGGCCATCTTCTACTGCTTTCCCAGACCATAGCAGAGAGCCTCCTAATCCTTATCTTAACTCATAATCCCTAACCCTACTTTTATCTTTTCTCCTTGTGCCACATACTAGCTGTTAAAGATCAATCTGTTTGGCTGGCGCCGTGGCTCACTAGGCTAATCCGCCACCTGCGGCGCCAGCACCCAAGGTTCTAGTCCCGGTTGGGGCGCCGGATTCTGTCCCGGTTGCCCCTCTTCCAGGCCAGCTCTCTGCTGTGGCCCGGGAGTGCAGTTGGAGGATGGCCCAAGTCCTTGGGCCCTGCACCCCATGGGAGACCAGGAGAAGCTCCTGGCTCCTGGCTTTGGATCAGCGCAGTGTGCCGGCCGCAGTGGCCATTGGGGGGTGAACCAACGGCAAAGGAAGACCTTTCTCTCTGTCTCTCTCTCTCTCACTGTCCACTCTGCCTGTCAAAACAAAAAACAAAAAACCAATCTGTTCACCATGAACCTTTGAAACTCAAACCCCTAATTCCCTTGTATGATTACTCCTCAACTCAACACCAAGCTCATTCCTCTCATTACAACATTAATTACATGACATCACATGGACAGAAAACTATAGGGCAAAAACCCTTAGAAATATTGAACTGAAAAAGATGAACAATAAATTTAAAGAAATAAAAATAAATAGTATGGTAAAACAGTATTTGCTACAAATAAGACATCGGTTTCAGAAGATCAAGGGTGATCAACAGTCATCCATGGGCGTCACATTCACAGAAAATGGAAAAAATCACCTGATCTTCCCAACAGATGCCAAAACAGCTCGAATGAATCCGACACAATTCCATGATAGAAGCGCCCACTAACTTGGTGGAAGACAACGCCCAGGCCTGGCCCAGTGGCGCAGCAGGCTGAGCTGACTGATGCTTGTTACGCCCACACTCCACGATAGTGCGCTGCTTTGAGGCCCAACGTCGCCGCATTCTGATCCAGCTTCCTGACAATGTTCCTGGGAGGCAGCGGATGACGGCTCCAGTATTTGGGCTCCTGAACCCCAGACGGAGTTCCAGACGCATGACTTTGGCCCGGCCAAGTCCTGCCCGTTGTAGTCATTTTGGGAATCAGGCATGGAAGCTCATGCTCCCTCCCTCCCTGTCACTCTGTCTTTGAAATAAAACACATAACTGTAACATACAGGGAGAGAACTTCCTCAACAGGGTGGACCCCAACAGGCAAACCCCAGGGCCAACATCACACTCGGCGGTCCTCCCGGAAAGTGAGGAGCAGGGCAGGGATGCTCCCTTCACCTCTGTGTTCAATATCACACTTCACACAGGAATGAGGCAAGGCAGAAAACGTGCTGACGGTTACAAGAAATGGTTTTAGAGGCCGGCACCGCGGCTCACTAGGCTAATCCTCCACCTGCGGCGCCGACACCCCGGGTTCTAGTCCCGGTTGGGGCACCGGTTCTGTCCCAGTTGCTCCTCTTCCAATCCAGCTCTCTGCTGTGGCCCGGGAGGGCAGTGGAGGATGGCCCAAGTGCTTGGGCCCTGCACCTGCATGGGAGACCAGGAGGAAGCACCTGGCTCCTGGCTTCGGATCAGCATAGTGCGCTGGCTGTGGTGGCCATTTCGGGGGGTGAACCAACGGAAGGAAGACCTTTCTCTCTGTCTCTCTCTCTCTCTCACTAACTCTGCCTATCAAAAAAAAAAAAAAAAAAAAAAGAGAAAAGAAAGAAATGGTTTTAGAACAATACACATGTTCAGTAAAGTTCAAACATGGTATCCACACTCAAAAATCATTTCACGCCGGCGCAGCGGCTCACTAGGCTAATCCTCCGCCTTGCGGCACCGGCATACCGGGTTCTAGTCCCGGTCGGGGCGCCGGATTCTGTCCCGGTTGCACCTCTTCCAGGCCAGCTCTCTGCTGTGGCCAGGGAGTGCAGTGAGGATGGCCCAAGTGCTTGGGCCCTGCACCCATGGGAGACCAGGAGAAGCTCCTGGCTCCTGGCCTTGGATCGGGGCAGCTCTGGCCATTGTGGCCATTTGGGGAATGAACCAGTGGATGGAAGACCTTTCTGTCTCTCCCTCTCTCTGTAACTCTCTCAAATAAATAAATGAATAAATATTTAAAAAAATCCATTTCACACCAAAGATGAACAATCAAGAAAGCAAATTTTAAAATTTCATTTTAAAAATGTCAATAGTGATAATAAGGAATAAATTTAACACTGGGGAAAGACATGCACACTGAAAATTACAAAATGTTATTGAACTAAAGAAAACCAAAATTAATATAAAGACTTATAAAACTCCTGCAATAGAAGACTTAAACATTTAAGACTGCAGAACTGCAAAGAATCTGCAGATTCAATGTGATTCTTTTCACAATCTCAAGGACCATAGGCCATATGTTGGGAAAATTATCCTAAAATTCATATATGGAATTTCAAGGGACACTAAATGGCTAAAGCAATCCTGAAAAAGAAATGCCAATTAGATTCATACTTCCCAACTACAAATATTAATACCAAACAATGGAATTCAAAGGATGTATGATATTGGCATAAACAGAGATTCATGAAATTCATCGAGAATATAGAACCATACACCTATGGTGAACTGATTTTTGACAATGGGCCAATGCCGTGAGGGCAGGAGAAAAGAACGGCATCTTCAGAGCAGACAGCTGGCCAGTCGGGACACCCGTGGCCCAGACTGGAGTGCCCGGGACTGACGCCCACATTCTTCTCCCAACTCCAGCTTCCTGCTAACCCTGGGAGGCAGAGATCATGGAAACCATCTCATTTCCCTGCCACCTATGCAGGAGACCCAGATTAATTTTCTGGCTCCCACCTTCAGCACCCCCATCACCACATCAGGCATTAGGCACGTCAACCTAAAGATGGGAGCTTCCTTGTGCGTGTCCTCCTCCTCCCCCCTTTCATATTGATATGCAATAAGGTAGCCAGCTGAGCTGCAGGTCACAAACCACTAGGCCCTGCACCATGGCATTGTACCCTGTCAGCACACCCCATTCCCAGGATGCCTTATGCTCAGCTGGGACTTGGGGAAGGGTCACCTTGACCCTGATCATTAGGCTCCGCATGACCTGGTAAGCAGGTGTCAAATCTTCGGGGTGACCACACTGCCTCAGGTGTTCTCTCCCCTCCACTGGAGACACGGACCGGAGAAGGTGCTGAGGGTGACCCCCTCTCTACTCAACTTCCCCCACCCCCTTTTCTCTCTGGCCCACGCTTAAGCGATGCCCACGTGTGTTTGTGCATTTGCCTTCTTACCTTCTAAGTAAACTTTTTTTAAAAGATTTATTTTATTTACTTGAAAGACAGAGTTACAGAGAGAAGTAGAGATAGAGAGAGACGTCTTCCATTCGCTGGTTCACTCCCCAATTGGCCGCAACGGCTGGCGCTGCGCCGATCCAAAGCCAGGAGTCAAGAGCTTCTTCCAGGTCTCCCATGCGGGTGCAGGGGCCCAAGGACCTAAGTAAACTTTATCACTTTGTGCACCATATATGTGCCTGTGCTTAAAATGCTTTTCTTTTTTTTAAAGTAAAAGACAATACCTGACTTAGGATTAAATCTCACTTCTCCCATATCACCAACACTCAACACAGAAACTGTGACAGCAGCTTGAGTCCTGGAGTTAACCTAATGATGACACAATCTACCTGGGGACATCACCAGTGCAGGAGGAGGGCTCAGGCCAACAGTGCTGCCCACTTCTGCTATCACTTTACCAATAACTCTCACCCAAGTTGGCCACAGATCAGATATTCCCACAACTCCCTTCTCAGTTTCAATCATTTACTGGAGCAACTCAAAAAACCCAGGAGAAGTCTACTTACAACTGCCGATTTATTACAGGGGCTGTGTTAAAGGCTACAAATGAACGGCTGGAACAGGAGCAGGTGGGAAGGGGCATTGGGGCTCGCATGCCCTCCACACGCGGCCTCCCTCCCAGCACCACCTGTTTTGTTCAGCAACACGGAAGCTATGTGAACTCTGTCCTTTTAGATTTCTTTGGAGGTATCGCTGAATAGCCACACTTGGTAACTCACTGGCCATTAACGACTGACACAGTACTGTACACAAAAGTCGGGGATAGGAGGTTGGGGGCACAGCTTAAAGTATTTTACCTGGAATCACGGGGTTGGTTCCCATGGCAACCATCCAGTCTGGGGCTGTCCGGGAACCTCCAGCCATTAGTCATTGGCCACAAAGACAGTCACTTCACACATCCCAAAGGCTTAATGAGATCCAAGAGCCAGAAAACCAAATCCAAAGAGGCAAACCATGTAACTCTTGTGTCACAACAACCCTCAAAATGGAAGAAAATAGTTGCACATTATATATCCTATATGTTATCCTGTATGGATATCCTATACATTATCCAGAATATATTTTCTGACTCGACTTTTTAAAAAAAAAGATATTTATTTATTAGAAAGAGTTACAGAAAGGGAGAGAGAGACAGATATTTCATCCACTGGTTTACTCCTCAAATGGTTAAGACTGGGACAGACTGAAGCCAAGGTCGGGAGCTTCATCTGGGTCTCCAATGTAGGCGCAAGGGTACAAGGACTTGAGCCATCTTCTGCTGCTTTCCCAGGCGCATTAGCAGGCAGCAGGATGCAAATGAAGCAGCCAGGACTTGAACGGGGGTGGGCATATGGGGATCCAGCATTGCAAGTGGCAGTTTAACCTATTAAACCACAATGCTGTTCCCCCATGTCTTTTCTTAAAATGATGATGCAACAACTATTTAGAAACCATATGGGGGCCGGCGCTGTGGTGCAGTATCCTATATATATATATATATATATATCCACCTGTGGTGCCGGTATCCCATATAGGTGCCAGTTCTGGTCCCGACTGCTCCTTTTCCATACAGCTCTCCGCTGTGGCCTGGGAAAGCAGTAGAAGATGGCCCAAGCCCTTGGGCTCCTGCACCCACATGGGAGACCCAGAAGAAGCTCTGGCTCCTGGCTTTGAATGGTCCCAGTTCTGGCTGCTGCAGCCATTTGGGGAGTGAACCAGTGGATGGAAGACCTCTCTGTCTCTCCCTCTGTAATTCTGCCTCTCAAGTAAATAAATAAACATATTTTTAAAGATTTATTTATTTATTGAAAGGCAGAGTTACAGAGAGAGATAAGGAGAGGCAGAGAGAGAGAGAGGTCATGCATCCTCTGGTTCACTCCCCAGTTGGCTGCAATGGCCAGAGCTGTGATCTTAAGCCAGGAGCCAGAGCTTCTTCTGGGTCTCCCACGTGGGTGCAGAAGCCCAAGCATTTGGGCCATCCTCTACTGCTTTCCCAGGCCACAGGAGAGAGCTGGATTGGAAGAGGAGCAGCCAGGGCTAGAACCCGTGCCCATATAGGAAGCCGGCGCTGCAGGCAGAGGATTAACCTACTGTGTCGTGGTGCCGGCCCTTAAATAAATATTTAAAAAAAAACAAATCTGAAAAAGAGTGCATATTCAAAATACACGAAGGTTCCCAAAAATCAACAACACTGAACAACTCAACAAAAGCAGGTAACTACATGGACAGCTGACCAAAGCAAATATCAAGCTGTCAATAATCACGTGAAAAGATGGCCCGTAGCGTATACCATTGGGAGACTGGGCAGTCCACCCCAAGGAGCCGGCACCGCGCACACTGGGGTCGCCACACTCCACAACAGGATCAGAACGGCCGCTGCTGCCAGAAGAGGAAGCACAGGTGGCCTCGCCCGCCGCCGGCAGGAGGCAGCACGGCACGGCCACTTGGGAAAGACGTCCTGGCAGTTTTGCCAGCGTGAAACAGGTGTCACTCACAGCCCAACAGTCACACCCCTACATTCCTGTACTTATACTGCTGTGTAAAAATCACCTGGTCAGTTTGTTCAAACTTACAGTAGCAGGGCTGTCTGTCAACAGCAGAGGCTGTAACTGGCCTGGGGTGAGCCGTCCACCGGTGTACTCAGCAAGGTCTGTAAAAACAGCAAAAAGTTGTTTCCCTACACACTTTACTTGCAACCCAAACGCTGGGGGAAACCTCCCACACCCACCAGTCCTCCAGGTCCCTGGACACCAACAGGGAGTCAGGATAAAGGCACCGCAGCACCGGGCTGCCCCTCCCGCCGCAGACGCCACATGCAAGCAGGGGGTCCCCAGTTAACACAGACAGGGGCTCACACCACCCCCGCTCGGGCTCCATCACGGCTCCGGTGGCTCACTGGACTCGGAAAACACTTCCAAATTCTCACGGCCTAAAGGCGCTGCTATGAAGAGGTTATTTGTTTCTACCCACTACTTGTTGATTTTTTTTTTTTTTTGACAGGCAGAGTTAGTGAGAGAAAGAGACAGAGAGAAAAGTCTTCCTTCCGTTGGTTCACCCTCCAAATGGCTGCTATGGCCAGCGTGCTGCGCCGATCCGGAGCAACCGGGACAGAATCCGGCGCCCCGATCGGGACTAGAACCCGGTGTGCCGGCGCCGCAGGCGGAGGATTAGCCTAGTGAGCCACGGTGCTGGCCTTGACTTCTTTATTTAGTGGAGGGATAAGCTTGTGACCATGAAGGAAACTGAATGTCACTGTAGAAACCCTAAGAAACACAAGAGAGGCCAGCGCTGTGACGCAGTGGGCTAAAGGCCTGGCTTGCAGCACCAGCATCCCATACGGGTGCTGGCTTGAGTCCTGGCTGCCCCACTTCTGATCCAGCTCCCTAATGCGCCTGGGTGGCCCAAGTCCTTGGGCCCCTGCACCCACATAGGAGATCCTGAAGAAGCTCCTGGCTCCTGGCTTTGGATCAGCTCAGCTCTGGCCATTGCGGCCATTTTGGGAGTACACCAATGAATGGAAAACCCCTCTCTCTCTCTGCCTCTCTCAATGCTCTTCCAAATAAATAAAATAAATTAAAAAAAAAAAGGCAAGAAGAAAATGAGGAGGGAGAATGGTGGACAAGGAGGGAGGGTGGGAAGCTGTACACACGAAACACAGGACATTGTTCACTTTCTATAAATTCAGGAAAGTAAAGAAAATTCTGTTAAGAAAGCCGATTATAAAAAGAGGTTATCTGGGCCGGCGCCGTGGCTCAATAGGCTAATCCTCCACCTAGCGGCGCCGGCACACCGGGTTCTAGTCCCGGTCGGGGGGCCAGATTCTGTCCCAGTTGTCCCTCTTCCAGGCCAGCTCTCTGCTGTGGCCAGGGAGTGCAGTGGAGGGTGGCCCAAGTCCTTGGGCCCTGCACCCCATGGGAGACCAGGAGAAGCACCTGGCTCCTGCCATCGGATCAGCGCAGTGTGCTGGCCGCAGCGCACCGGCCACAGCGGCCATTGGAGGGTGAACCAACGGCAAAGGAAGACCTTTCTCTCTGTCTCTCACTGTCCACTCTGCCTGTCAAAAAAAAAAAAAAAAAGGTTATCTGAACATGACTGGACAGAGAGGGTTCCGTCTTCACAGTTGCTGTGCAAATCTAAAACCAACAGGAAGCAACAACTGGTAAACCCTGGTGCTTTGGGCAGACGTCTGAGTGCTTACTTACATGCAACACTGAAATAACAAGGCTGCACAGACGGATCAGCAGAGACAACGCACCGCAAAGCTCTCCCCGGACCTCAGCGTTCCCTCGGCTCTACCCGAGTGTGTTTTACACAAGCCCAGGGCCCAGGGGGAACTCAATCCACATTGTGGCTTACACGAAAGCTCACTAGAGTTTCGTGTTTCACCCGTCTCTGCTTGCAGACTCACAGTATGATCCGCCCCATTAAAAACACGCTGGCAATCAAACCGACTTCCCGGACAGCAAAAATGTGCCTTTGCCATTGGCACGACAGGAACCACAGGCTAGCTGGGAGGGATGTAACTGAATGTCTCACGGCATCTGCAAACCCAACCTCGGGGTTCTGGGTGGCAGCCTTTACCGCAGCGCCTGGGGTCAAATCCTGGCTCCAGCCCGGGAGACAGCAGGTGCCGGCTCCAGGGCCGGGGACCGAGCTCCGGGGTTCCCGCTGGACCCGGCCGGTGGGCCTCTGGGGAGCGAACCAGCAGATGGACAACCATCTCTGTGTCTGCCCCCCCCCCCCCCCCCCCCCCCCCCCGGGAAAAAGGCTTTTGAAAACCCCCAAAAGCTTTCCCGGAGCACGCGCGGCCCGCTCAGCCGGCCAGGTGGAGTCTCTGCCCGGCCTCAGCTCCGCGGCTTCCTTTAGCCCCAAGTTCCTGGCTTCCCGAGGCACTGACTTTCCCGCAGCCGGCGCGGCCCAGGCGGGCAACCCCCGCTGAGGTGGGCTGGGACCCCTACAGAGGACACGCGGACAGCAGCAACACTGGCGTCTCCCTGAACTGGTCCTGAGAAGGAAGCTCCCTGCCCCGCCGTGGCCTCAGACTCCAGCTGTCGCCAGGCTCAGGCGCCTCCCGAGTGTTACTCCCGGCCCCCTCAGGGAAGACCACCGCGCACAGAACTGCCCTTCAGCCCAGACAGGGTGTACGCCCCCTGGTGGCCGGGGTTCGCAACGCAGGAGCTCCGTGTGCTCTGCACAGTGGCCGGGCGCCCCCTGGCGGCAGTCCCAGTGATCCTGAAACTCACTCCTCTGTCCCAAGCCAACTGGAAGACAAAACAGAAGCCAACAATTTGTGTCTTGATCAAAGTGGATGCTAATGCGCCTGGGAAAGCAGCAAAGGATGGCCCAAGTGCCTGGGTCCCTGCCACCCCCTTGGGAGACTGGGATGAGACTCCAGGCTCCTGACTTCAAGGTGGCAGGGGGCCAAGGACTTGAACCACCATCTGCTGTCTCCCAAGGTGCCATTAGCAGGAACCTGGAATTGGTGACAGCCAGAACTCAAACTTGGGAACTCTCATGGGGGATGCCGGCATCGCAAAGCTTGTATGTATGTGTGCATATGCATGTATATATGTATGCATGCATGTATGTAATGCGGGAGGGAGATGAGGGGCACATTTTCTATCGTATTTGGTCACTCACTGAACTGTGCAGACTCCTTTACTAGGTCTCTCCATTTCACTGAGTCGCTGCCGTCTTCAGACACACTAACCCGCCACCACAGCTGCAACTACCTCTTGTTTTCTTACGTGTTTTTGTTTCTTCCAGCCTGTCCCAGGTTTTCTCAACGACTTAACGGCTATCTGTAAGCCACAAACAAGTCCTGCCTTAACTATGTTTGAGGTTTTTAAGTCTATCGTTTCCACAGCGAAGCCTCTGCCTGTCAGAAATCTTACAGTTCTGAAATTGCTCCTTTCTTTAATTAGCCCATTAGAGTAATATTTGCGTTACTCAACGTGTATTTTTGCTATCACCAACACTAGGTCAAAAACAGTTAAGGACGGTTTTCCTTGCAATGCTGGCGTTCAAAAGGTGCTTTGTAGGTTAAAGGCATGTAACAGTCTGTTCCTGGGATCCTGCTTGACACACATTAACACGCACGCGCTGCAACCCTGTTTAGAAATTAGGATGTTGCAGCTTCGTACAAGGACACAGTAGCCAGTCAATGTAACTGAACCTAAACCTTGGCCAAGTGCACGTTTTCGCCACGTTGTTGCCTCATAGCTGCTGGGATGCTGTACACAAACCGCGCGCGTGGAAGCAGTGTACATGCGCATTATGCCAAAGACGGCTTAATGTAGTACAACAGAATTCCTCAGCAACCCCTCCCAGATGCAGACCAAGGTACTCGGTAAGGAACTGCAGGAACGCGCTCCGGCGTTCCACTCCCGCAGGCCACGCTCCCTACCTCGGTACCCGCAGCTACTGCGGCCAGTGCACAGCCAGCACTGATAACCCCGCGGCCACGTGCTGCTGGCCACGTGCTCTTGGGACGGGCCAGTTTGTGTCACGTGACGCAGCAGGCAGGGCCCCGCCCCGCCCCCGCTCTCAGCTGTGACATCCCCAAAGATGCCTGATTACTTTCCCTGACTACCTTTGCCAGAAAGCTGATCCAACCACAGATGAAAGCAGATAGAGAAATCAGAACGAAGATTTCTCTCTTGGGTTTGCCTGATAGGTTGCTCCGTCACGGCTAGAGCAGTTTTACAGCGCTACCTTCCCCTGATTGATCAGGCGTTTACCTGGGCAGCTCTCCTTGCTCGGCCTGGGTCTTTCGTGCCTGCAGGCGCCGGTGGTTGGCGTCACTGTCCGCCGCCGTGCCTCGGGGCTGCTCCGGGCTCCTTTAGAGCCTGCGGTCTCCATGTCCTTCTCCCGGTGTGCCCTCTTGTGGGCTCGGCTCCCGGCGGGGCGCCCGGCTGGGCAGCGGGCAGCCGCCTGCTCTGCCCTTCGCGCCCACGGCGGGCCCTTTCCCGGGGCTCTGGGGCGCGTTCCTGCCGTTGCCGCCGCTTCCTCTAATGCATCCGGTGGCTCCAAAATCCCGAACACGTCCTTGTTCGTGCCCCTGACTGTGAAACCTCAGGGCCCCAGCGCCGATGGCGATGTCGGGGCCGAGCTCACGCGGCCTCTGGACAAGAGTGAGTGCGGGAACTGGCGGGGGGCGGCAGGAGGGAGGTGTACCTGGCCGGGAGGGAGCCAGATCCCTTCCCTGGCGACCCGAGCGTTGTCATGGCGCCCATCAGTGTCTGCCTCCCTCGCCGGCTGCTGAGGCCCTCGCTGCGTCCTCCCCAGGGTTTTGCCCCAGAAGTGGCCTTTTCGCTCTCGCTGCTCTCCTTTGAGTGGGTTTGGGACGATGCAGCTGCTTCTGAACCGTCAGGTGCACGACCAGCATCTTTCTGCGTTCCTCCCGCCCCCCACCCCGAGACGGGGCGAGGGAACGAGGCCGTGAGAAGCCTTGGTTGACCGTTGTCGTGGACGGGCGCTCACACTGCCGAGCTGTTCGGGGAGGGAAGGTTTGCCGAGAGGAGCCAGCCTCACGGTCTCGGGGACGTGCGTGGTCAGCCGTGATACAAGGTCATGATGCGGGCGTCCCCGCCGAGGGTGGGAGGGGCCCTGAGCGTTCCAGGCCCCACGGAGAAGGGACAGCTTCGCGTCAGCGAGTGACAGTGGATTTTGTCCGCAAAACTGCGTTGGATCGGTTTGACAGGGAGTTCTGGGGGGAGTTTGGGATGCTGTGGCTGAGCTTTAAAATTGTTCCCTTGTCCTTTGTAATTGAGACCCGTGATTGTGCATGTCGGTGGGTCGAGTGTGATAATTGGTTAGAGAGCCAGGGAGTGTGCTCTAGCAGGTGCCGTTCTGGAAGGCTGAGGGCATGCTTGGTCCGATGAGGTACTTGGTGTCCGGGAACTGTCCTGTTAACAACCTTTCAGTTCAGTTTTATTTATTTGAAAGAGAGGGAGAGAGAGAGAATCCTCCTTCCACCTGTTCATTCCCCAGATGTTCAGAGCACCCAGGACTGGGCCAGGCCAAACCAGGAGCTGGGAACAGAATCCACGTCCCTCACACGCATGGCAGGGACCCAAGTACTTGAGCTGCATTTGCCTCCCCTCCTAGGGTGCCCGTTAGCAGGAAGCTGGGAACAGGAGAAGAGCTGTTTCGGAGGAAGTTAGAGATGAGCCCGTGTGGGTGAGAGGGGCCGAAGGAAGACGGCACCTGCTCAGAAAGGAAAGCATCGGAGCGGCCTCAGCGAGCAGGCTCGGAAGAGCCCCAGGATTTTATACCGCAGAATCCTGCCCATACCTGCATAACTTGACAGGTGGTCCCAGCCTTCCCCCACGGAAGGACCCCAGGGGAATCCTGTCCTCCCACCACCAAATGAGCTACCCAGCCGTATAACATCGGTTAACGAAAACTTGGGAGGAATTTCATCCGTTGCACACCCAGCAGACCCTTTGTCCAGGAGCAGACGGAGAGGGGATGGGAGGATGGCAGGAGGAACTGGACCCCGTTCCCTTGCAACCCCTGAGTGCAGACTGCGCTCCCCGCCCTTTCCTGAGGTGCCTGCCTAGCGAGCCAGTGCATTCTCTTCAGCAGACTCTGTGACGCTGCTTCCCCGGTCTGATGACTGGGCACTGTCTCTGCCCCGTTCCACCTTGCTACCCCACTTCCCACTGCTCTCACATCTGAATTCTTGGCGAGAAGACAAGAACCGTAATTTTACCCATCTGTGCAAACAGTGCCAGGATGGAACCCAGGCACTCTGAGATGGGACAGAGGTGTCCCAAGTGCTGTGCTGGACACCTGCTCCATTTCCACAAACTTTTTGAAGGCCCCTGGAAGGCAGCAATTTCAAAATCTTTTGCACCTGAATGAACTTTTATTTATTTGAAGGGCAAAGTTGACTGAGATAGAGAGATGTTCCATCTGCTGGTTTATTCCGCAAATGACCTGGGATAGAGGGAGGGTGGGGGAGAGAGACATCTTCTATCTTCCATCCGCTGGTTCACTCTCCAAATGACTGGAGCTGGGCCAGTCCTAAGGCAGGAGCCAGGAGCTTCCTCAGGTTCTCCCCTGTGGGTGCAGGGGCCCAAGGACTTAGGCCATCTTCTACTGGGTTCCCAGGCCACAGCAGAGAGCTGGATCGTAAGTGGAGCAGCCAGGACTCAAATTGGTATTCATATGGAATGCCGGCACTGTAGGTTAAAAAGAGTTTATTCACTTTTTTTTATTTGAAAGGGTGACAAAGGGAGAGACAGATCTTCCACATGCTGTTTCATTCCCTAAATGCTTGTGACAGCTAGTTCTGGGCCAGGCTGGAGCCAAGAGCTCCATCCAGGGCTCTCATGTGGGTGGCAGGGGACTCAGTACTTGAACCATCATCTGCTGCCTCCTGGACCATTAGTAGGAAGGTGTGCTGGAAGCAGAGGCAGAGATGGGATTTGATCCCAGGCATTCCCATGTGGGACACGGGTGTCCCAAGGGGTGCCTTAAACTGCTGCACCACAACGCCTGCCCTTTACGAACTTTTTAAAATACCCTTGTGTGTTGTGTGGTATGTGACTTGTTCTTCCAAGCAAGATCTTCCACTTTACTTGCGTTTGGGGACTGTATTATTTTATATTATATTTTTGCTTATTTTAGATTGTGATAAGAACATATAACGTAAAACTTAGCATCTTAGTCGAGTATATTCTCGCTGTTGTAGAATAGATGTTGAACTTTTTTTCATATTGAATCAAACAATAAAACAATAATTTGTCCATTAAACAGTTCCCCGTTTGTCTTATTGTACAGCACAAGTAATTGTGTGAGACAATCTGGTGTATTTATTGTATTCAAATATACACAATTTACCTGAAAACGTCAGTGTCTTTGATGCTTCCAGTATGTGGATGGAGTGAAGAAGACGCTGGTTTGTCAGGACCAGGGTTCCTCCTGCTGGGAACCCTTAGGTGCACCTCACTGGGTCGCCGTATGCTGGGCCACTCTTCCTCTCCTGTGTGCAGAGGTGGAATTCACGAGGGTGATTTTTCAGCATTGAGAGGGACCGCAGAGGACAGTGAACTACCACAGCCTTATTCAGCGAGTGGTTAGTGGATCGGATTTCCACATAGAGATAAATCCGCTTCTTGCCTGGAAAGTTGGCTCACAGCTTTGCTGCGTCAGTCTTCCTGTCTTCTTGTACACTCTCTAGGGTGCTCCCTGGCTCTGCCTCTCCTGTAAGGTTCATAGTCCTCCCACTCCTGCTCCTGCTTTTCCCAGGCCATTAGCAGGGAGCTGGATTGGAAGTGGAGCAGCCGGGACTTGAACTGGTACCCATGTGGGATGCTGACTTCACAGGTGCCGGCTAACCCATTGTACCCTCTTCTTCTTTCTTTAAAGTAGGTTAAGAGTTGCATTCTGACCAGTAAAGCAGATTAAGTCCCTAAGCTTTCTTAGCATGCAGATGTGGGATGCAGGCGTCCCAGGCAGTGGTTAATTCTCAATAAATGGAGTCTGTCCTTGGTTTGTACTGAGTTACAGATCAGCAGGAGTTTTTCAGGCAATTACACATGCTTTTCCACTGTGGATACCAAGAAACTGTCACTTCCACTACATCTAGAGAAACATAAACCCAGAAATAACAGGACAGCTGCCTGTGATCTGAGATACGTCGTCTTTTTTACCTCCCTACCTGTCTCATGCTGAATTGCAGGTAAAGACAGAGTTAGAGGGGGAGAAAGAGAGATCTTCCACCCACTGGTTCACTCCCCAAATGGCTGCTAGTGACCAAAGGTGCGATTTAAAAATTCCTCATTCAGAAAACAGTTTTGTTATGGGTGCTTTGTTCAGGCTTCATTTCCTCAGTGAGTTTTGTGTGTGTTGTGGCTGCATGAGAATGTGGCAGTCGCTTCTGTGGGAGGTGAAGGTACAGCTGGTATTTCGTGGGCTGAGTGTGTGGCTGGGTCTGTAAAATCTTCCCCTCTGTAGACTGAGGCAGCAGTTTTTCGTCCTGTCTGACCTTAATATAATCGGATTCGTTTAAAATGTGTTACCTTGGCAGGCGTCCAATTCCACTAATCTGATGGGATGGGCGTCTCTCTAGTACTCTCTTTTTTTTTTTTTTAAGATTTATTTATTTATTTGTTTGAATGAGTTACACAGAGAAGGAGAGGCAGATAGGTCTTCCATCTGCTGGTTCACTCCCCAGTTGGCCACAACAGCGGAAGCCAGGAGCCAGGAGCTTCTTCTGGGTCTCCCATGTGGGTACAGGGGCCTAAGGATTTAAGCCATCTTTTACTGCTTTCCCAGGCCGCAGCAGAGAGCTGGATTCAAAGTGGAGCAGCCGGGGCTCGAACCAGCGCTCATACAGGATGCCGGCACTGCAGCTGGCGTCTTTACCCACTACACCACAGTGCTGGCCCCTCTAGTACTCTTTTTTTTTTTTTTTTTTTTTTTTTTTGACGGGCAGAGTGGACAGTGAGAGAGAGACACACAGAGAAAGGTCTTCCTTTGCCGTTGGTTCACTCTCCAATGGCCGCCGCGGCCAGCGCGCTGCGGCCGGCGCACCGCGCTGATCCGAAGGCAGGAGCCAGGTACTTATCCTGGTCTCCCGTGGGGTGCAGGGCCCAAGGACTTGGGCCATCCTCCACTGCACTCCCGGGCCACAGCAGAGAGCTGGCCTGGAAGAGGGGCAACCGGGACAGAATCTGGTGCCCCGACCTGGACTAGAACCCGGTGTGCCGGCGCTGCAAGGCGTAGGATTAGCCTAGTGAGCCGTGGCGTCGGCCCCCTCTAGTACTCTTGAAATGCAGTTGTCTGACCCTGGCTTGACGACTTGTGGTGACAAGGAGCATTCATTTTTAAGAGGCAACCTCCCTTTTTAAGGATTTATTTTTATTTATTTGAAAGGCAGAGTTACAGAGAGAGGGGGAGAGACAGAGAGTGAGATCTTCCATCCACTGGTTCACTTCCCAAATGGCCGCAATGGCCAGGGCTGGGCCAGGCCAAAACCAGGAGCCTAGAGCTTCTTCTGGGCCTTCCAGATGGTGCGTGCAGTGTTCCAAGCACTTGGGTCATCCTCCAGTGCCTTCCTAGGGCCTTAGCAGGGAGCTGGATTGAAAGTGGAACAGCTGGGTCTCGAACCAGTACCCACATGGGATGCTGGCATTGTAGCTCATGACTTTACCCACTACCCCACAGCGCCGGCCCCAAGGCAACTCCTTTTCTTTGTTCAGTTGTTAGGACATTGTGTGGTGTGTGGTAAGTCCCACTGAGATCAGCTTCTGTACCTGCCACTGACTTTAGTTATGCCATTGAGACCGAGATGAGTGTAATCTGTTCTCCCTAAAATCATCATCTCCAAATGAACGGTCATCTTGGCCCTTTAGATATTTGCACGAAAGCCCGATGATCTGGTCCTGGCTGTTGCATTTGCCTTTCTGGGTGCGGGTTAGCTGCACACTGGTTGCCAGTTGTAAATGAATGGAACATGTGTGTCTCAGTGTGGTCTGGCGGACTCTGGAGGCCTCCTCTGAGCCTTGCTCATTCCTCTGCAGTGTGACAGTGGTGTTGTCCTGGCTGACTTTACAGCTGTGTGGACGCTCCATTGCACATTAACCCACCAAGAAGAATCAGCCAGAACCTTCATGTTCTTGAGACACTCATTAGACTCCTGCCTACAGTGTTAGGACTTCTAGTTTCTTTGGCTTTTGGGCATTTTTCTGCCTTAAATGTTGAATTTTGATATCTTTCTTCTAGATGAAGTAAAGAAGATCTTAGACAAGTTTTATAAGAGGAAAGAAATTCAGAAACTGGGTGCCGACTATGGACTCGATGGTAAGGCCCACAGCACGTTGCAGAGATGCTGTCTTACTCCTTATCATCCGTCTTTGGCAGTGTGTGTGGTGTGGGGACAGGTCCCTGCCCTTTGCCTCTGCCTGGGGAGCCAGACTGCACGCAGAAGAGCTGCATGTCCCACCTTCCTGCATGCTGTGCTAGGATTTCAGATTTAGCCCAGCTTGTCAAAAACCAGCTGCACTACCCCACAGCCCAGCCTCATTGGAGAGCCTGGTTTTATATGTATATCTTCTTTTTAAATGAAAACTGAAGCCAAGACTAAGCCCTATGTGTTTTGATTTTGCGTTTTCCACAGCTCGTCTCTTCCACCAAGCTTTCATAAGCTTTAGAAACTATATTATGCAGTCTCATTCCCTGGATGTGGACATTCACATTGTCTTGAATGACATCTGCTTCAGTGCAGGCAAGTATTTAGAGAATAAAATCTCACTGAACATCCTTTGTGCCCTTCCAGTAGCAGAGCGTATTGGTTTTAGGGTGGAGCCTGTCTGTGATAATTCAGTGCTTTGAGAGGAGGTCTTGCAGGTCTCCAGGTAGCTTTTATATTAGGTCCCAGAGCTAGTTTGCATGTGGGAGTCTTCGACTGGAGGAAGTGTATGCCATGGACTCACCCTGTGTTGGTACAGGCCACAGTGAAGGGTGCTCTCTCACAAGACAGGGTCAGAGCAGAGCAGATTCCATCTGTTTCTGCCATTGGTCTCTTTCTCCTTCATGTTGGGACACAGTTCGTGCTATAGAAGGAAAGAACAAGAAAGAGCATCATCATTTTTTTCCTGTGGACAGTTTGGCTTTGGTTATAGTATTTAAATGTATTTCACTCTTAGACTTTACCCCTGTGCCAGGCCCTGAGGGAGAACCTGGATGCAAAGCCAAGGGGGAGCCAGCTTCACTGCTTCTAGCCGCAGTGTGGACTGTCCTTGCTGAGGAATCTGGTCACGTTCATGTTTTCTCTCTGTGGTCTTTGGAATTTAAGACTGTTTGCACCTATGTTTCTCTTTTTGTAACCACAGTCTTTCTTCTTCTCTAATGTGTGTTTCCAGGTTCTTTATTTAAAAAAAATTTTTTTGTATTTATTTGAAAGAGAGCAAGTGAGTAACTGAGCTCTCACCCCCAGTGGCCGTGGCTGGACTGGAAGTCTGGAGTCAGGTGGAATGCAGGCGTTTTTGCCATGGGCCAAATGCCCGCCCCTCCAAGTTCTTTTTTTTTAAATTGAATTCCTGCCAGTGCTCATCTCGGCTTGTACCGGCAGAGTAGCACATGGGGTTTGGCAGGCAGTTTTGTGTTTGCCTTGGTGTATGGGAATAATTGGAGGAAAAGTAAGACAGAGCCAGGCTCTCTGCAAAAGACAGGGGCTCCTGCTCCAGGGTTCAGGCACTGCCCCACTGACCTGGCTTGCTGAGAAGAGACGTTCATGGGGTTCTGTGGCACACAGAATGTGGAGCACACATGTTAATGCAGTGTTTTGCCTTTCAGCTCATGTGGATGACTTATTCCCATTTTTCTTGAGACATGCCAAACAGATATTTCCTGTGTTGGAATGTAAGGATGACCTACGCAAGATCAGTGACCTAAGAATACCGCCTAACTGGTTAGTTTCTTCATTTGTGGATTTTTTTTTTAAAGATATATTTATTTATTTGAAAATCAGAGTTACACAGAAAGAGAAGGAGAGGCAGAGAGAGAGATGTCTTCCATTCAGTGGTTCACTCCCCAGTTGGCTACAATGGCCAGAACTGCACTGATCCAAGCCCAGGTCTCCTACACAGGTGCAGGGACCCAAGGACTTGGGCCATCTTCTACTGCTTTCCCAGGCCATAGCAGAGAGCATAGTTCAGAAGTGGAGCAGCCGGGACTTGAACTGGTGCTCATATTGGATGCCGGCACTGCAGGCGGCGGCTTTATCCACTACACCACAGCGCTGGCCCCCATTTGTGGATTTGAATTCTTCAGTTTCTAGTCTTGAGAGATTAGTGACCATTTATATATTTAAATATATGCATATATATATTTTATTGAATGCTAGATGACAAATTAGAAAGAATCCAGATTATGTTGTATTCTCTAAAAAGCCAGGCAGTTAATTCTGTCAGGTAGTTAATTATTGTTTGTCTGACAAAGCTGGCTTTGGGGTTTTACTTGGGAGAAATAAAGTGGCCCCTTCCGTAGGGCGCTGTCCTTCGGTGGAGGCGTGGCCTTTGTGGTGCCTCGGCCGAAGGCCAGTGTTCCGATTCTCTGCCCTGGGGCTACACTGCAGCATCCAGCACTGGGAGCCTCTGCTAGGTTTCCCCGCAGACCTTTGGTGAGCTGTGCTCTTCTAGGCCCTGTCGGTTCTCACCTTGGGCACATTCAGCCCAGCCCTGGGCCAGGGGCCCACAGGGAACCCACACAGACTGCAGGGCTCCCCGCCCTGCTGCCTTTCTGCTCTTTCAAAGTCTAGCTGCCTCAGTGGCTCTGGACTTCTCTCTGCTGCTGTGCTCAGTGGGCCTCCCCTGCTCTGCCTGGCTTCTACCTCCCCACACTGCTGCTGGGCTGCGGCAGGGCTCAGTTCAACTACTCAGGGCTTTCAGATCTGCTGTCAGTGCCCGAACCGGGGCTGCAGCTCGGTTTGCTGAGTTCTGTACTTGTTCACGGTCCGGGGCAGTGCGGCGGCCGTTCCCATCAGGATGGAAGCAGAAAGCTCAGAGCCTGGGAGTGTTTGCTTTGAGGGTCGTGTTGTTGGAGCTGGAGGGAGTGAGGTGAACTAGGAGAGGTCTTCGGAAAGTTCATGGAAAATGTGCGTTATGAGGAAACTATGCATGGATTTCAAGATTTGTGTGTGTGCCAAAATAAAGTTTTAATTCTTTTCCATGAAATTTTTTAAGTGCTCTTGTATCTGTGGGACTGAGAGCAGTTTGAACTTATTTTTATTAATTCCTGATAGAGAGATTTGTATAATGGGAAAGTTGTCCAAGACATTGATTTGTGTTTGGATTTGGAAATTAGTCATTATTTTAATGTGCATTTGAAAATCATTGCTTAGTTTTTCAAAGACTATCTTATGAAGATTAAGAAGATGTTTCATTTGGAATTTTTTTCACTTTGCCATGATGGATATCAAGGTTAATGGGATTAAGCTGTTTACATATTTGTATCCTAGGTACCCAGAAGCAAGAGCCATCCGGCGGAAGATAATATTCCATTCGGGCCCCACCAACAGTGGAAAGACTTACCATGCCATCCAGAGATACCTGTCGGCAAAATCTGGAGTGTATTGTGGCCCTTTAAAATTACTGGCACATGAGATCTTCGAAAAGAGTAATGCAGCTGTCAGTGAGCTACCAAATCTTTGCTATGTTTTCCTCATTAATTTTCTTGGGGTAGAATGAAGATTGGCGGTAGGGGGTGACATGTAATAATAACAAAAAGACGTGTAGTTTAACAAAAAATTGCCATATTCATTGCACCCAAGAAGCCATTAATTAAAAGATGTACCATTATTTTATGTACAATTAAGAGAGAAAAAATGCTGCCAACTGAACTCTGACGTGCCGTCGATCCTTTGATGCACCCTGATTTCAGACGCCAAAATGTGAGAATGCGTGTGCCATAGAGAGAAGGAAGCACGGCATTGCAGAATCTCTCCTGTACAGAGAAATGCGGAGAGTAACATACCAGGGACCTAGAACCCATTCCCACCTCCAGCAGGTCCTAGCATTTGCTCTACTGGCTTAGTTTATTTTTTGAGCAATAAAATATTGATAGAGTAGAAACTCCTTCTCAGCTCCTGCTTTGCCTCTTCTGAATTAACCACTGCTTGGGAATGATGTTTAATTTACCCACTTTTAGCTTAGACCTCTGATGCCAGCAGCTAGAATTGATGATAAAGACTGGAGCCACTTTTTCAAATCCCAAAGGACTGAAGGCCTGTGGTCTGTGGCCTCATTTCACTTCATGGGCTGCAGGTTGGTTCATGGTTTTAGTAGGACTTTATAATACAACATTAACCAATTTGGACAGGTGATTTGCACTCTATTTTTTTCTGAAAAAAAATCTAAGTAATTTGCATATATAATGCTTTTATCTGTAAATACTTGAGACTGTGTTTCCTCAGAACAGTGTTGTCTGTGTTTGTTTTTTTACATCACTGCAGGATATTTATCTGAAGCAGGATACTTACTTTGATAGAATGCTGTTATGTGACTCACAGTCCATATTCAGATCTTGCCAGTTGTTCAGTGAAGCCCCGACCCCAGCTCCTCCAGGATTCCGCCTGAGGTCCCACTGCATGTAGTGGTCAAGTCTAGCTTCCTTTCATCTGGGCCCCTTCCTCAGTCTTCCTTTGTCTCTCATGATCTTTATGTGTTGGAAGACTGCAGGTCAGTTGTGTTGTACACTCCTGCTGTGCTTGGCTGTCTGGTGTTTACTTGTGATTGGATTCAGGCCACCAGCTGGCCAACCAGCCCAGTTTGCCTGAACTTTCCTAGATTTAGCATCAAAAGTCCTTTGTTCTGGGAGACCCCCTCAGGTTGATCACTCTGGTACCCATGGCCTTGATGTTGGCCTTCTCAGGGAATTGTATTAGGAAGTCTTTACAGTGTTACTTTGACTTATAATGTTCTTGAATATAGGCACAATTCATGCTCATGTTAATGAACTCAAATAATTGAGAGGTGTGCAAAGTTAAAAATGGAACCTACTGCGCTTCTTCTGCTTTTGCTATCTAAAGATTCCCATGATTTGAAATATTTCCAAGCTTACCTAGATTATGTAGAAGTGTGACTTGTTTTGGTTTTTATGAAAAAGAGAAAGCATTGGGAATGTTTTGTTTCAGCTATTAAATAAATGGTTTGCAGTGGAGAGAATATTAAACATCCCAAGCCTCTTTTTGCTGTTGCTTGCAAGGTGGAAGTAATTCTGGGTTTGGTTTTGTTATTCTAGGATGTGCCGTGTGACCTGGTAACAGGTGAAGAGCGGGTCACAGTGGGGCCAGATGGGAAACAGGCTGCCCACGTTGCTTGTACTGTTGAGATGTGCAGTGTTACAACTCCTTGTATGTACCTGCTAATTACACAACTATGGTCTGGTATTTTTTATTTTGAAGTACAGTAGAATCTTTATTATGAAAATACATTAAAAATCTAGATGGAATAATTCAACAGATGCCCAGTGCTGCCAACTATAATAAGTGTGAAGCATCTGTCATACTTGCTTCTGATTGTTATTTCCGTTTTTCTCATGAAAGAACCAAAATATTAGTTGATGTTTTCTTTGTACCACTCCCCAGTTTAATTCCTTTCCCATATTATGAACTAAGTACCATCAAGTACTTGATGTGATATGAAGTATCTTTATGTGTCTTTGTATCACCAATACATATTACCTGTCAATACTATGATTTTAAATGCTTATGTGGTTATCATTATATAACTGTTCTTCAACTTTTAAATGCTTATGTGGTTATCATTATATTACTGTTCTTCAACTTTTACTCTATACGTTGTTAGATCTAGTGTTGTTGAAATATCTATGTCTATATATTTGAAATGTATCAGTTAAACTATTATGTAGTATTCAGTCTTATGACTAAAATTATTCATTTCCCTATTAAACAATATTTAGATTGTTTTAAAATTTTCCCCATTATATCCAGTGCCATAGTGAGCTTCTATTTAAGTAGTTTAGGAAACATTATAAATAAAAAGTAACTTTTCCTAATAGGCAAGCATATCTTTTTTGAAAATATAAAAATATAGGTAAGCAAAGAGGAGAAAATGAGCATGCATCATCTCCCAGTCCACCTGCCAGAACCAGCAAGTGGCAGTGTGTTTTCTAGACTGTTTCTGCAGTGTTCAAACTGTTTCTGCATGTACTCAAGTGCACATAGTGAGTCTGTATATTGAATAAAATAGGAATTACACATTATTTACTACTTAGTAACTTTTTGTTTCAGTCAGCTTCTGAGTAAATGGATAGTTTTTAAAAATCAGTGTATTTTAAGTTTAAATGCAAAATAGCACACAACTTTGTACCTCAGAACTTCCTCCTCTCCTCCCTCTTTAGTGTTATTTGTTTATATCCAGATATGCTGTGCAATTTTTAATCTGATGATTTCGCAGTATAAAATGATTTTTTAATGATTTTCTAAAAGCTATTGTGAATATATGAAATTTTTAAAAAGTTCTCTGTTTTTTGGTATTTTGAGAAGGAAAATATGTATGACCCACAAAGAGCAGAATAATAGGATTGGAAGTGTTTTGGCATTTGAAAATAAGATGAGGCACTAATTTTGCCAGAGTGCTGGGCCTAAGCCTCCTAGGCTAGTGTAACTGGGGCCCAGGGAATTACACGTTCTGCTCCTGACAGCTGGCTGGTCTCCCTTCACAGAGGTTTCACTAGTAGAGGCAGGGTGTGTACTGCTTGTTCCTGGAAGCCAAGATAGTTGTTTTCTTCTTTCACTACTCGGGCTGTGTCTGAGACTGTGGAGAAGAGAACGAAGGGACCTGCTCAGTGTGGGAGGCAGTGCAGCAGAGTGGTCAGAGGGCGGACTTCGGCACCACATGGCCTACGCTTGAATTTCCTCCCTAGTCCTACTAACTATGTGGCCTCAGGCAAATAATTTCTTGAGGCCTCGATTTACTCTTAAAATGGAGATAATAATACTTAGCCCACTGGTTTGTTGTGAGGATTAAATGCAGCATAATTATAAAACATTTAGAATAAGTCTGCCAGAGCAGAAGCACCCAGTAACTGGTGATGACAATTATGGGGTTAATCAGAGCTTGCATTTTGGTGTTGTGATCTGTTTATCATTCAAGTAGGTTGTGTTGCTCATGATAACTTTTTCATTTTAAGATGAAGTGGCGGTAATTGATGAAATTCAAATGATTAGAGATGCAGCCAGAGGATGGGCCTGGACCAGAGCACTTCTAGGTGGGTCTTTCTGCCATGAAACCTGCGCTTTAGGGCATTTGCACTGAAAGGCATTTATCTGCTCGACATTGCAAACAGAGTCAGATCCTCTCTCTCCTAGTACAAATCATTCAGAACAGCCAGCTAAGTTTGTTTTGATTTTCTAAATATTAATAATGGAGGCCGGCGCCGCGGCTCACTAGGCTAATCCTCCACCTAGCAGCGCCGGCACACCGGGTTCTAGTCCCTGTCGGGGCGCCGGATTCTGTCCCGGTTGCCCCTCTTCCAGGCCAGCCCTCTGCTGTGGCCAGGGAGTGCAGTGGAGGATGGCCCAGGTGTTTGGCCCTGCACCCGCATGGGAGACCAGGAAAAGCACCTGGCTCCTGCCATCGGATCAGCGCGGTGCGCCGGCCGCAGCGCGCCAGCCGCGGCGGGCATTGGAGGGTGAACCGACGGCAAAAGGAAGACCTTTCTCTCTGTCTCTCTCTCACTGTCCACTCTGCCTGTCAAAAAAAAAAAAAAGGAAAATCTGTTTTCCGTGTTATACAAATAAGTAAAATCATGTAGCAAGTCTCTTATTTACACCATCACAATTAGTGTTTTCGTGTTTCATGCTAGTCTGCGTTTTTCTACATGTGATGCTTTGTGAGCTACAGTTTTGTATTTTGCCATATTCAGTTCTAGTGTTCCATGGGCATTTTTTGGACCACGTTATTAATGTGATTACATGTTCTCCATTGAAGAATAGCACTATAATTTGTTCTCTAGAGTTGAACATTTTCCCCTATTATTAATAATTCTGCCGTAAAAATCTTTGTGGTCATAGCTTTCTACCTTGTATTATTTCTTTGGGATAGGAGCCTGGCAGTAGAGTTCTTGAGGTCCATGGACGTGAAGGAACGTTTCTGCTGCTTGGTCTGAGAGTGAATGTTTGGTCAGTTTGTTGCAGGGCAGGTGTTTTCAAATTAAAAGTAGGCCTGCGCCACGGCTCACTTGGCTAATACTCCGCCTGCGGCGCTGGCACCTCGGGTTCTAGTCCCGGTTGGGGTGCCGGATTCTGTCCTGGTTGCTTCTCTTCCTGTCCAGCTCTCTGCTGTGGCCCGGGAGTGGAGTGGAAGATGGCCTAGGTGCTTGGGTCCCTGTACCCGCATGGGAGACCAGGAAGAAGCACCTGGCTCCTGGCTTCGGATCGGAGCAGTGTGCCGGCCTTAATGGCCATTTGAGGGGTGAACCAACCGAAAAGGAAGAACTTTCTCTCTGTCTCTCTCTTACTGTCTAACTCTGGCTATCAAAAAATAAATAAATAAAAGTAAATAGCTGAACTGTTTTTTCAAAAAGAGTATGCATTGAAGCCTGTTATGTAAAATAGATGGAGGTGGATATGCTTATAGGTAAGGAGCTTGGATTTCCTTCTGCTTTGCAACCCCAGCCTCTTAGGAACTTCAGTAATTCCATGGATTCTGGTTTGAAAAACCCAAGTATAGGATCAATGTTCAGGGCTGGCATCAAAATGCCAGGTTCTGGTCTTGGCTGGCTTCACCCAGAAATAGACTCGAAACCTTGGCTCTGCCTTGAGATTTATAAAATTGGAGATAATCTTTTTCCCAATGGAAGGTGGTGGTGGTTTTGAGGTTTATATCACAAAGATAATATTTGTGAAAACACTTGGTAAAGTTATAAAGGTAATTAAATCATATTTCTGCTGTGGTAAGTGCTTCATATTCTTAATCTTTAAAATATTTTAAAAATTCCAATTTTGCATTTGCAGGGCTGTGCGCTGAAGAAGTGCATTTGTGTGGAGAATCTGCTGCCATTGACCTGGTCACTGAGCTCATGTACACAACTGGGGAGGAAGTGGAGGTACTAGCTTACGTGCTGCGTTCTCAAGGGTTGGCCACGTCAGATAGCCCAAAGTCCTGGAGCCCAGAGAGAGAAAATCACAGCTGAGCTGCCGGGAGGCTTCATTTCTGACAGAGTGGCCATCGCGGCCGGAGTTTTCCAAAAGCACAGGAGAGCCTCATTTTCTCAAGGCAGAACCTTTTGGGCTTTGACCCCACAGAAGTTGATGGTTTTCAGAATTTTGTGTGTGAGGTTTTAGGGCCTTTGATATACACCTAATTTTCAGGCACAGTTTGCGTCCCTTTCTCGTCCCTTTCTCAGATTCCTGGTTTCCTTTTAATGCTAATTTTCTTTTTGTTTACCAGAATTCTATAATATAAGATTAAGAAATGTCTTTTTTTTTTTTTTGAAGAAGGTTGGAGTTTTTTTAGAAGTTTGTTTATTTATTGGAAAGGCAGAGATACAAAGAGTGATTTTCTATCTGCTGGTTCACTCCCTAATTGCCCACAACAGCCAGGAGTCTGGGACTCAGGTCAGGTCCCCCATATATGGGTCCAAGTACTTGAGCCATCACTGTTCTCTCCCAGAGTGCACATTAGTAAGCTGGAATCGGTAGTGGAGTCAGGACTTGAACTCTGATATGGAATGTGGCTGTCCACATGCTTAATCAGTTGTGCTAAATGCCCATCCCAGAAGAAATACTTTTGAATTGGGCCATTATTTTAGTTTTGTGCTCAGCTTTCAGGAGAGATAGTGGAATGTAGTGGAAGAAACTTTGGATTCCAGTCTGGACTTTGCTGTTTTTGTTTTCATTCTGAGGCAAATCACAGAAGGCTAGAACTGGAAAAAAGCCTCAGACCTCATCTTCTATTAGGTTCTACTTTATTTGTTCATAAAATGGAAATAACATTTTATTATCCTTTTGGATTTATCTAATTGCCATGAAAATAAAATATATGTGAAAATGCTTTGAAAATGTATGAAATACTATGACATTTTATTAATTTAGAAATGCCAGGAGTACTGATGGTAACACTTAAAATATCAAAATAAATGTTTTTCTGTGTTTTTCCCTTGAAAATGTTGGTACCAGGGCTGGTATTGTGGTGCATTGGGTAAAACCACCTCCTGTGATGCTGGCATTGGCTATTGGAGTGCTAGTTCAAGTCCCAGCTGCTGCTCCATTTCCAATCCAGCTCCTTGCTGATGCACCTGGGAAGACAGTTTCTGATGGCCCATGTGTTTGTGCCTATGCCACCCTGGTGGGAAATCCGCATGGACTTCTGGGCTTCTAGTTTCAGCCTGGCCCGGCCCTGGCTGTTGCTGCCAGTTGGGGAGTATACTCTCTTTCTCTGGCCTTCCTTTTCATTCCGCCTTTCAAATAAATGAAATAAATCTTTTTGAAAAAGAAAAACATTTACATTTGTCAGTTTTTAGCTATTTTTTAATGGGAGCATCGTTTTTAAGAGATTTATTTATTTGAAAGATAGAGTGACAGAATGTGGGGGGTGAGGGGCAGTGGCAAGCCAGAGAAAGCTCTTCGATCAAAGACCAGGGCTGGGCCAGGCTTAAGCCAAGAGCCTGGAGCTCCATCTGGATTTACTGGGTGGGTGCAGGGGCCCTAGCACTTGGGCCGTCATCCATTGCTTTCACAAGCATGTTAGCAAGGAGCTGGATCAGAAGTGGAGCAGCTGGGACTCACAAGCAGCAGCTTAAACTGCTGTTCCACAAACCAGCCACTGCTTTTAGTTCTCATTGCTTTGTGAGCTTTTCATTTAACTATTAGAAGACGTTAAGCTGGCTGTGTTATTTTACCAGTTGATGTTTTTGTTATAGGTTCGACACTACAAGAGACTGACCCCTATTTCTGTGTTGGATCATGCACTAGAATCTCTAGATAACCTTCGCCCTGGGGACTGCATTGTGTGTTTTAGCAAGAATGATATTTATTCTGTGAGTCGACAGATTGAAATTCGGGGATTGGAATCAGCTGTAATATATGGCAGTCTCCCACCTGGTAATTATTGACTTTCATCATGACATAATATGAGATCTCTTGTCTGCATTTTTATTGACAGTCGTACAAAAAGTAGAATGAATTAAATTAAGTTGCTTGATGTAGTACTAATTTAATATAGGTCAAAGATTTCTGTAGTTCATCTTAATAGGAATACAAGTATTTTAATTATTTATAGTCTTGTTACTAGACTGTGTTTTCAGTGTTAAATTTACGATTTTCATATAGGGATGCCATTAAATATGGATTTGGTTATAACCTTCAAGTTGTAGTCCTGGAATCTGTTACTAAATATCCTCAGAAGTGATGAGGTTCAGGGGTTAGGGGTTGTGTTGCCATAGAGGGTGTACTTAAAGGAGTGGAAGTGAAGTCTAAGTGGCTCTTCAAGGCTATGAAGATGTAAGGTTGGAAAGAATAAAGTTTTATCTGTAAGCATGGAAGGAGCAGGAGGTAGGGGTTCCCAAGCTGTGCTTAGCATGATACAGTGAAAGACTGGGACTACTGATTTAATGTAAACTCTTCCTGTTTTAGGGACCAAACTTGCTCAAGCAAAAAAGTTTAATGATCCCAGTGATCCATGCAAAATCCTGGTTGCTACAGATGCAATTGGCATGGGACTCAACTTGTGAGTAATTTATTTTAATAAGCCAGAAATATTCAATAAGGCAAGTTTTTTTTTTTCTAATTGGCATTAACAACCAAACACTTTAAGAGAATGTGCATTATAGTACAAATTGAGATTTATCTTGCTTAAACCTGTTGAGAGAATAAAAAGAAAATTTCATACAACACCACACTTTTGAGTGCTGCTCCCTACCCCTGCTAACCTGTATTACCTTACTTTATTTTCAGTTTCTCAGTTATCAGATGAGTCCCTATCATGCAGTGGGGCTAGCCAGTATCTCTCATGGTAACAGTGTAAAGCCTAATATATTCCACCCTAGGTGATGAAGGTTGCTATACCTTCATGAATCAAAGAACTATTAAAAGGGGCCGGCGCTGTGGCGTAGCGGGTAAAGCCGCTGCCTGCAGTGCCAGCATCCCAAATGGGCCCGGTTCGAGACCCAGCTTCTCCATTTCCGATCCAACTCTGCTGTGGCCTGGGATAGCAGTAGAAGATGGCCCAAGTCCTTGGGCCCCTGCACCCACGTGGGAGTCCTGGAGGAAGCTCCTGGCTCCTGGCCTCGGTTCGGCGCAGCTCCGGCCATTGTGGTCAACTGGGGAGTGAACCATCAGATGGAAGACCTCTCTCACTCTCTCTCTCTGTCTCTCTTTCTCTCTCTCTGTAACTCTGACTTTCAAATAAATAAATAAAAGAACTATTAAAAGCTATTAATAGCAGCCAACTTTTTTGTATGATATAGCTTTTTTCTCGAAGAATATTTATTTATTTATTTAAAAGGCAGAGTGATAAAGATGGAAAGAGAGACAGAGACAGACATGTCTTCCATTGCTGGTTCATTCCTAGAATGCTGACAACCAGTAAGGGCTGCACCAGGATGAAGCCAGGAGCTAGGAGTTCTATCCAGGTCTCCCAGTGGAACTCAAGGACTTGGGCAGTGATCTGCTGCCTCGCAGGCATGTTAGCAGGAAGCTGGATCTTAAGCATGAAGTAGCCGGGACTCAGAGCAGGGACTCAAGTTAGAGGATATAGGCATTCCAAGTGACAGCCTAACCCATTGTACCACTATGCCAGCCCCATCAGCCAACTTTTTGAAACAGTAAGAGAATGCTGACTGTGTTATCTGGAAAAAATTTATTTAATGTAGCTTTGTTGAAGTATAATTTACGTATCACACAGTTTATCCATTGCAAATACATATTTTTGGTGGTTTTTACTGTATTACCATACACAGCTTGTAGAACATACTATTTGAAGGCAAGAAACAGAGCTACCAGCCAGCATCTTTTCTTTATTTTTTAAGTAGCAAGCAAGCTTGCAAGTAGAATCAGAGTGAGTGTTTTTGTGATGGTCCAGGTAACAGAGGGGTTCGACATACAGTCTGTGGGATCACTTTTATTTGTATTTCAGGAGCATAAGGAGAATTATTTTTTACTCCCTCCTAAAGCCCACTGTCAATGAAAAAGGCGAAAAAGAAATAGAACCAATCACCACCTCTCAGGCCCTGCAGATTGCTGGCAGAGCTGGTAGATTTAGCTCGCAGTTTAAAGAAGGAGAGGTTACAACAATGAATCGGGAGGACCTCCGATTATTAAAAGAAATTTTGAACAGGCCTGTGGAACCTATAAAGGTAAGGTGTAACATGCTAATTACTGCTTCTCGGGGAGTGACCCACCACCCAGACTCTTGCCTCACACCTAGAATGAGAAATCAGCCAAAGAGGCTTGCCCCCCACCCCCCACCCCGGTCTCGTGTGTGCCATGTCTGGTTCCTCCAGCGTCGCCGCTATGAAGAAAGTGGTTCAGCAGCTCCGGCTGGAGGCCGGCCTCAACCTAGTGAAGGTTTCCCAGGGAGCTGCAGACTTGAAACAGTTTTGTCTGCAGAATGCTCAACATGACCCACTGTTGACTGGAGTATCTTCAAGTACAAATCCCTTCAGACCCCAGAAAGTCTGTTCCTTTTTGTAGGAATCCTTCAGAGGGTTCCTGAACCACTTCTCATTAACCGGTGAATATTCATTCATTCAAGAGAGCTAAATTTGAAGCCTGTACAAAAGCTTCCCTTAACACGTGCCATAATATACAAACTTCTACTTTTGTCAGTCCTAACATCTACCTCTCTGAATTTTCATGAATTTCTATTTCACAAGGGTAATTATTTTATATACACTGGCAGCAGCATACAATAAAATACTTAATATATATATATATAAAAAAAAAAGAAATCAGCCAAAGAAAACTTTGTGCCTTGAGAACCACATTTTAAAAAGCTCTGCTTTATTGTTTTGGAGAGATGCAGAGACCCCTTGATGAGGGAGTAGTGTGCGCATGAAAGATAGCAGTTGAGTAAGTTTAGCTACCCAGTTTCTCTTCAGTTACTCCTACAGTCTAGCACATGGAGCTATGGCAGTGGATCGAAAAATTACCAGAAACTTGAATATAGGAAAAGCCCTAGGATGTGGGACAGAAGCAGCACTGAGCAATGCGACTTCTAGCTGATAAAGACAAGTTTGTTTTGGTTAGTACACTTAATGAATCAGAAGTGTACTGGGGTCCCTGACTTAACAATTTTTCAACTTTGTGATGATGTGAAAGTGATATACATTCAGTAGAAACCAGGCTGGATTTGAATTTTGACCTTTTTTTGCTAGCTTACACAGTCCAGTGCTCTTGTCATGTTCACGAGGGTAAACAGCCGGCACTTTGCAGTGTGGTCTGTGTAGTGCTTAGTGAGGATATTCAGTGGATTAGGTGGATTCAGTGCATTTTCACCTTAGCATGAGTTTATTTAGACATAACCCCGCTGTAAAGTGAGGAGCATCTGTACGTATTTTAAACAAACCAACTTTTTTAAAGATTTATTTTATTGTATTTGAAAGGCATAGTGACCGTGAGGTGGAGTTGAGAGGTTCACAGAGAGAGTAAACGATCCACTGGTTCATTCCGCAAATGGCAGCAGTGGCTGGGACTGGTCCAGGCTGAAGCCTGGAGCCTGGAACTCCATCTGCATTTGGCAGCAGGTTTCCCAAGTACTTGGGCCATCTTCCACTGCTTTCCCAGGCACATTAACATTAGCAGGGAACTGGATGGGAAGTGGAGTAACAGCCTTGAACTGGCGCCTGTATGGGAGGCTAGTGTTGCAGGTGGTGGCTTAATGCACTGTGTCACAACACTGGTCCCTAAACAAGCCAACTTTTAAGAAGTAGTTAAAATTTAAAGTTACCTGGAAAATTCATTTACAAGGCTCATCTCATTGGTTAGTGATACTTGGTAAAGGGGAATCAAAAGGAGAAAATGTAAAGTTAAAGTCCAAAAAATAAAGAATAAAGCAAGAAAGTTGTGGTTGAAATCCCTTCTGTAGGGGCTGTAGTTATAGTTCCAAGTGGCTCCCAGTGCAGCTGACAGTGACACAGCCCTGTGTCCTTCCAGTGTGCCTCATGCCCTGTACTCAGACTCTTCCTCCCTTAGGATTCCGATTTCTCGTCTGCTTTCCTCTTTCTCTTTTCTGTTCACTTTCTTTTACTCTTGCTTCATTTCTTAGATTTACTTGTGGGCATTTCTTAACCCTACAGTATACAGTTGAAGAGATAACAGATGTCCAGTTTAGAAATTTTCTTGTGTATTTATGTCATTTTTATTGCCCTGATTAAAGCAACTGGCTTTTCCTTGTTCATTTTTATTCAATGGGGAGAATTGAGATGTGGAAAATAGTTTTATCCTTGAAAGCATTTTGCTGCCCCATCCAAACATCCCAGGTTTTAGAAATATCGCTGCAATATAAGCCAAAGAGTTTCTACTTAATGAGCATTATCTGTCATTTTTACTAAATCAGCTTATCTTCTCTAGTCGTAACAAAAGGTTAATGAGGACTTTTTTCCCCCCTCCATTTCACTCAAGTGCTGGGCACTTGGTAAGAGTTTAGCCCACATGTGGGACTAACTTGAAACAACTTAGGAAAATTTGTCCTTGGAAATAAAACCCAGTTTACGAGTGGTTTCTCCTTTCTTTTGACTGCAGGCAGCCGGTCTTCATCCAACTGCGGAGCAGATTGAGATGTTCGCCTACCACCTCCCTGACACGACGCTTTCCAACCTCATTGTAAGTGGCTGCACACTGTCCTTTCTCTTCTAACAGGTACTAGGTAACCTCGTGGGCAAGAGTACATAGCCTGCTTTTGTGAAGCTGCTGTTTGTAAAATTTATCTTGCAAGTACAAACTTTCTTTCAGAATTTCCTGGGACTTTCGTCCTGAGGAATTTTCTTTCTGAGTGTCTCAGGTTGGGAAGGAAGTAGTGGAAATCTATTGCCTTCAGGAGGCAGTGACAAAGCAGACCTTTCTAGAAGTTTCTTAAGAAGTGCAGACTGTCTTTTGTAGATGTGAGCACTTTATTCATGCCCAGCTAGGCAGTCCAGTAATTTCATGTATCTGTTTTCTCCCAGGATATTTTTGTTGACTTTTCACAAGTTGATGGGCAGTATTTTGTCTGCAATATGGATGATTTTAAATTTTCTGCAGAGTTGATACAACATATTCCACTAAGTCTGCGAGTGAGGTATGTGTTCTGCACAGCCCCTATCAACAAGAAGCAGCCTTTTGTCTGCTCGTCTCTGTTACAGGTAAGCCTCCATCTTTGTGATACTTTCAGTAGATTCGGGGTGATGCAGTTTCCTCAGCAGTTATCTGAGATAAAGACTGTAAATTATAGATTCTGTAAATATATGAATAGAATGCTGCTCTTTTTTTTTTAAGTGGATGCACTTTATATTTGGGTTTATAACCTTTGTAAAGTAATGAAAACACAAATATTTAAACATTTTTAGGAGGGGACTTTGGCTGATGACGCAGTTTTTCCCTTTGTGGCTTGCGGTGTTGGTATTATTATTTGGAAGGGGAAGGGTGCCGGGCTCACAGTGACGACAGTATTCAGTGTTCTTAACTGTCAGGCGCTGAGCTGGGGGTGCTGTGGCTCCTGAAGGGCACAAAATCTGGTTGGGACCAGAAAGCGCAGTGCAACCTGAGTTTCACCCCCACCCTTTAGTACCTGTTGCCTGAGCTTGGCACGTTCTCCCCACCCCACCAGATACAAGGTCACTTCCTCTCAGTCTTTTCCTAACTCATTGAGGTTTGTTGCCAGCTTAGCCTTCTGCATGCCAGCTCCATTCTCTTCAAATCTGTTTCCTAATTAAGTACGTTGCCTTTGTGAACCAAATTGGAACGTAAGATGGGTTGCACATGGCTGCCCCCAGCCCCGATTCTCCTCAGCAGCTACTGTCAGCAGTTTCTGTCTGTGCCGACCCTGCGCGGAGCTTTCACCCACATATGTGTTCATGTCAAAATTCTGCTTTTGTTGTTGGGCGTGTTTCCTTGTGAGCGTTACCATAATGAATTATTCTGTAGCTTGCCTTCTTTTCCTCTTCACAACTTGTTTTAGAGGTCTTCCATTTCCAGATATTTACCTAGAAAACTTGTTTCTTAGAACTGGGTTTGTGAGAGAGTTGGCTGCCATAAGATTGAAGATGATGGAATAGTTTTTATTTTAGTTTCTTTTTTTTTTATTTGAAAGGCAGAATTCAAAGAGACAGCATGGTTTCATCCACTGGTTTACTCCCCAAATGGCCATAAAGCGAGGGTGAGGCCAGACGGGAGCCAGGAGCCAAGAGCCAGTAATTTCATGTGGATCTCCTGTGTGGGAAGCAAGGACCTAAACACATTTTCTGCTGTTTTTCCAGACACATTAACAGGGAGCTGTGTCAGAAGTGGGGTGGTCAGGATTTGAGTCCATACTCATATGGATGGGTACAGGCAGTATTTCAGGCTGTGGCTTACCCTGTGTCACAATGCCAGCCCCAGTAATGGGACAGCTTTAAGGTGCTGTAAACTGACCCAGCAGAGCCTGTTCCCCGGCCTTGACTCCATGTATACCACCCATCTAGCAGCTATACTAACGAAGCAGAGACTACTAAAAGCCACATGTGTTTGGAACAGTTCAGGTCAACAGATGATTGTGTTTGCTATTTAAAGATCGGGGGTAAAATAGAGAGGTGGTTTCGTTTTTGTCTTGGTCTCCATCGTTGTTGAATTCTAAACAGGCCCAGTCCCATAATGGCCTCTGATGTCCCTCAGGACTATCTTTGAAACTGCTCCTCAGACCTGCTTTAGGGCCATCTGCTGGGTGGTGGCCTCGGGACAGCTGGGCATCTCTCCCTGCCCTCACTGGGCAGCTCCTCACTTAGCCCTTTTACATACTGGTCTTTTACTGCTTGTTTGAAGCCAGAAGTAATTACATGTAACAGAAGAGCTCCTGCTTGGCGTTTCCTGCTTAGCAACTTAGCATTGGCACACTTCTGTCCTCGGTGGCTGCTCTGCTTGACGTCGACTGAATAACACCAGGCTCAGTAGAATAAAATCTTAGCGTTCCTTTACTACAATTGATCTGAAATTGTCTTCCCTCTGATGTATTAATCTTGCTTAAATTAAACTTTGAGAGATAATTTTCCCTAAGTAGAAAATAAACCATTTGAAATCTTTATGCTTGAAGCTAAAGATTTTATTTTATTGTTTAAGATTTGTATTTTTTTTTATTTGCAAGGCAAAGAGAGGCAAACAGAGATCTCTCATCTGCTGTTTCACTCCCCAGATGCACCCAGCAACCAGGGATGAAGCCACAAGTGAGGAACTCAGTCTGGGTCCCCCATGTGGGTGGCAGGGACCCAGATACTTTAGCCATCACCTCTGTCTCCCAGGATACACATCAACAGGAAGCTGGAACTGGGAGCAGAGGTGGGACTTTTGAACCCAGGCACTTTTCCTGGAATGCAGGCATCCCAAGTGGTGTCTTAAACTGCACACCAAGTGCCGGCCCCTGAAGATTTTAAAATCTTATTTGATGAATCTTAACATGCCAAGTGTTCCTGTCTTCTGTAGTACAGGTGATGTGTAACAATGCCCAATGTTTTCTGGGGTGTAGCATGGTTTTCAAAGCACATTCCCCAACAATTTCTTGTGATTCAAGATGGAGAATAAGGGGACTGGCATTGTGGCACAGAGGGTTAAGACACTACCTGTGATACCGGCATCCCATATGGACACCAGTTCATGTCCTGGCTGTTCCACTTCTGATCCAGTTTCCTGCTAATGCACCTGGGGAAGCAGCAGAGATGGTCCAGGTTCTTGGGCCCCTGCCACCCATGTGGATGACCCAGAAGAAGCTCCTGGCTGCAGCCTGGCTCGGCCCTGGCTGTTAAGGCCTTTTGGGGTATGAACCAATAGATGGAAGATCTCTTTCTCTCTCTCTTCTATGTGCCTCTCCCTTTCTCTCAGCCTTTCCAATCAATTTTTTTTTTTAAATGAGCCTCTCATCAACATGAAAACTGTGTAGAAAATAAATCTGACATTAGGTTACATATTGTCAAAACTAAGGACATATTTTCAAAAAAAAAAATAATAAAGGTGGTTGATGTGCTGGTCTCAAGTTACTGATGAGGAAGCTGAAGCTAAAAGCCACATAGCTAGTAGGAGACAGAGTCACAGGCAACTGGCCTCACACCATGCCGCATCAAAGTTTCTTTAGGAACAGGCATTTGGAGCAGTGGTTAAGATGCTGCATGGGATATCCGCATCCTTCCTGGGAAGCAGCAGGGGCTGGCTCAGGTAGCTGGGTCCCTGCACCCATATAGGAAACCTGGCTTGAATCTGGGCTCAGGGCTTCCACTGGACCGAGCTCCAGCTGTTGTCCGCATTTGAGGAGTGATCAGGCAGATGGGAGGGAGATCCCTTGTTGTGTGTGTGTGTGTGTGTGTGTGTGTGTATTTCTCTCATTCTTTGAATCTCTGGCCTTTAATATAAAATGAAAATAAATAAAAATTTTTAAAAGGTACCTTGTAATAAGGGAGGCCATTAACAAGAAAGAGAAAATAAAGCTCCCATTTGAGTTTATGGAACTATTATATGATGAGGCAGAAGTAGGTATCTTAAGGCATCAAATATTCAGAAATAAGAGTTAACAGATTTCAGCCCTGAAGAGTTAATCCTTGTACAACTTCTGATTACCATGGCTTGGAAAAAGAAGAAAGTCATCCTTTATATATTTTAGGCAGAAATGTCTTTATAAAGTATTAATGTTCTTGAAGAATTGGAAAAGTTTCAAGGAGGAAAGAAGCCAGCCTGTTTATTGAAACACAACCACAGTTAACATTTGCTGTGCCTTTTTCCTTTTTCTTTGTAATCACAGACTTAAGGGAATTCTGATTCTTATAGCAAAGTTTTCTTTTTTCCCTCTCAGTTTGCCAGGCAGTTCAGCAGGAATGAGCCCCTGACCTTTGCTTGGTTACGCAGATACATCAGATGGCCTTTACTTCCGCCTAAGAATATTAAAGAGCTCATGGATCTTGAAGCTGTCCACGACGTCTTGGATCTTTACCTGTGGCTAAGGTACCAAATCAAAGGTTCCAAGGTTTTATTTTTCTCTTCCAAATTAGGCACCTATTTGCAAGGTGTTCTGTATTATGTTTATTGTTCAGAAGGTAGTTGAGTGTGGTTTATGTGCACCATTCCAGAATTGACTTAGTGATGATGCTGGTTAGGGTAGCAAGATGAGAGGCTGCACCAGAGCCTACCTGCTCATCGTGGTCTTGGGACCAGAGGTGTTGGTGTCCCCTGGGAGCCCGTCAGAAGCATAGCATCTCAGGCCTGTCCCGGGCGTATTCAGAATCTGACCTTAGCAGGCTCCCTAGTCGCCTCACTTGTGTATTCACATTTGAGAAGCCATGTTCTGGAGCAGGGCTTCTCAGAGGAGGGGCGAGTCCCCCTCAGACATCAGAATCACTTGAGACACATGTGCTGGCCCACCCTCATAGTGACGCGCTCCTCAGGTGTGTTGGGCAGAAATGAAGGGTGAGCAGAGGCACTGGGCAGAGTTTATTTAAAAAATAATAATCACATGTATGATTGATCCCCTTCAAGATGTAGGGTATGTCATTGAAATCAATCCAGCAACTCTGACGAGCTGGTGCTATGATGTACTATGTCTCTCCTCAGCTACCGATTCATGGACATGTTTCCAGATGCCAGCCTCGTCCGTGACCTCCAGAAAGAACTAGATGGCGTTATCCAAGAAGGGGTACACAGCATCACCAAACTGATTAAAATTTCTGAGATGCAAAAGCTGTTGAATTTGGAGAGCTGCTCTCCAGGGAGCCCGTCACGCTTGTCAGGAACCTTGAAGGGCCAAGCTCGGAGGACTCGTGGCACCAAAGCCGTGGGGAGTAAAGCTGCCGAGCCACCCAGCCCTGACGCAGGAGGGGTGCCCTTGACCTCCAGACTGGTGCAGCAAGGGCTCCTCACTCCAGACATGCTGAGGCAGCTGGAGAAGGAGTGGCTGATGCGACAAACTGAGGCTGACAAAGAGAGAACAGAGTCTGGGACTCAAGCAAAAGGAACACGAAGAAAGAAGAAGGAACCTAATTCTGATTAGTTTTCGTGTTTTTTTTTTTTTTTTTAAATTTTGCAAATAAAATCTATTTTAAATCTTTTTCCCTCATCTGTGTTTACTGCCTGCAACAATATTGGGGCTGTCTCATAAAGAGTTTTCTTGGCACAGAAAATTAACTCTCAGAAGTGACTAAAGTGCTGTTTTGTTTCAAATTAAAAAAAAAAAACTAGGATGTCTTAGAGATTTTTATATTTTTAAAATAACTTTTATAATGACCATTTTTAAAAAATATTTGTTTATTTGAAAGTCAGAGTTACAGAGAGAAAGAGAGACAGAGAAAAGGAGATCTTCCATCTGCTGATTCACTCCCCAGATGGCCACAATTACCAGGGCTGGGCCAGGCTGAAGCCAGGAGCTTCATCCAGGTCTCCCACATGGGTGCAGGGGCCCAAGGACATGGGCCATCTTCCACTGCTCTCCCAGGTACATTAGCTGGATCGGAAGTGGAGCAGAGCCCTTAGGGCATACCAGCACTGCGGGCCACAGCTTTAACCCACTGAGCCACAGCAGCAGCCCCTATAATGGCCATAGTACTAAGTGTACCATAAGGAACTGTGCATGTCAGTAAAACAGCTTGGGGAGTGGTTTGACGCATTTCTTTTGCCACTGCTGAGGATGTCATAGCTGGAATTCTGTGACCAGCATCGCTGCCTGTTAGATCCATGTACCAGAGGCTGTTCTGGGTGCTGGAAATGTAAGCAAGACACATTCCTGCCCTCAAGAAGTTCACAGGGGAGACAGGAACAAGGTGACAGATAAAGCCAGCTCCATGAGGGCAGAGGTTGTCTGTCTAGTTCACTGCCCCATCTACAATGCGTGGAGCATTGTAGAAGCACAGTCAGTGTGAGGAGCACTGATGTCATTTTGGAGATAAATCTTGGAAGGAAGGGGAGAGTAAGGGAGAAGAATGACATGTGGTTGCAGTGGGCTCTTAGGGAAAAGGTGACTGTCTCTTGTCCAAAGGCCAGTCTGATGCATTTGTATCCAATAGAGTTTCAGCCCTGGTTAGAAGCATAGCTAAAAGGATTTTTAAAGATGTGAGCAGTGGAAGTTGGGTAGACTTGGTTCAGCCTCTCTCAACAATACCAGCTTTGTGATTTGGTCCTCTCTGGACTGGGTCTCCACATCTGAAGAAAATAGATGGGCCAGCACAGTGGCGCAGCAGGTTAAGCTGCACCTGTAGTGCTGGCATCGCATGTGGGCACCAGTTTGAGTCCCAGCTGCCCTGCTTCCATTCTAGCTCCCTGGTGGTGTACCTGGGAAAGTAGTGGAGGAGGGCCCCAGTTCTTGGGCCCCTGTCATCCATGTAGGAGGCCTGGAGGAAGCTCCTGGCTCCTAGCTTTGGACTAGCCCAGCTCCGGCCATTGTAGCCATTAGGAGAATGAACAAGTTGATGGAAGAATCTCTGTCTCTTCTCTCTCTCTTTCAATTAAATAAGTAAATCTTTAAAAAAAAAAAAAAAAGAAATAAATGGACAATGCTTGCTGGGAGTCTTTCAGTAGCTTAAATGTGATGAAATGCTATTTAGCAGAGGGTCTGGCACATAGGTAGTGAACCAAAAGGGCCCATTCTGTCCTGTGAATTAAACTCAGGTCATTCTGAGAACTGAACTGATTCCTGAAACACCTGCTGAACTGAGGCTGATTTTGGAGTAGGATTAAACTGTGGTACAGACTGGGTCATGGAACCGCCAGATGTACCAACGTGGTCAGCTCTCCCTGGCTTTTTCTTGGGTAGTTCGGAGTTAGGATGTTAACAAAGATGACCATCTTTGTTCTAACCTTTGCCTTCATGGACATAAAGATTGAATGGGTGGTAGTGACTGTTTCCCCCTTGCTTGTGGGCAAGCAGTAGTCAAATGCCTGGAGGAGCATATTTCTTGATATTCTGTGTTGGGGCAAATGCAGCTTCTTGAATATCCTTTCCCTTTGACTTCACCCTAGCAGACCTACAGTCATTTTTGCCTAGAAGTACCTATGAACTGAGCTGCATAATGTGTTCGGTCCCGTTGCATTTAAGCAATGAAGTATGTTATTTAGGAGGTTGTTAATTCCCTCATTTTATCTAGGTTGGGGGCCGAGGTGGTGAATCAGAGACTCTTGGAAATGGGTAAGTTAAATGTTCACAAAGCTTCAGATAAAGAGAGGTGGGGGTGGGGAATTCTGTTAAGGAAGAGCTGCTTGGGCATTTGGCTAAGGAATGTTTATACACAGTGATAAATAGTTTACCCTTTGACCTTTCCCTTTTCAGGGACAAGCAAGCACCATGGTTAAGCAGAGAGACTAAAAGGGTAACATTAAGGGAAGCAAACAGGAAACATGTAATCCGTGTGGCCCTGTATGGGTCTCAGCGACGTCCTTAACATTGGCTCTAGGAGAATGGGCTGGTCGTCTTCCGAGCAGCGAGCTGGCCAGGTCCCTTAGCTTTCCTTGTGGACTTCTGGGCCAGTTAGGTTCCAGGTGCACATTTCATAGTGTCGTATCCTCATCTTTTCTAAAACAGCTCTTTTTTCTTTTTCTTCCCTTACAGTTTTCTAACTGCCTGAAAGTTCTGCGATTACTGTGGTGGATGCAGCTGGACATCAACCTGGGTTGTGGACTGAGGCTTGGATGCTGGTCTCGGTTTCATCACTGTAGACCTGGGTAATTTAATAAGGTGTGTTAGTGTGTAGTTGGCTGGGAATAATAACCAATGACTTGTAGTACTTTGTACATGGTATCCATTGAAGAGTATAAATCTATAAAATGGAACCAGGTCTTTTGAAAATGACTTACATGTATCACAAATATACAGAACTATTGTCACACATTATCAAAATCTCTTATGGCTCAGACCTGGGAGTCTATAAAGATGGTGCCATTGTTTTATGTGTGTCCTGCTCCAAACCTGTTAGGAGATAATGAAATGTGTGGTTTGCTAAGAGGTAAGCAAATGAGTCATGCTAAGATTTCCCTCCTTTTTCAAAGCTTTAAAATACATAGACCTGCAGTAAGCATTTAACCTAGTAATTAAGATACCTGAATCCTTTGGTGGGCATTGTGGCACAGCAAGTTAAGCCAAAGCTTGGGACCTCTCCATTCTTATTAGAGTGCATGGAATTAAGTCCCACCTTCGCTATGAATCCAACTTCCTGATAATGTGCCTGGGAGGTAGCAGATGATGGCTCAAGTGCTTGGGTTCCTGCCACCCATGTTCTTGGCTCCTGGCTTTGGCCTGGCCTGCCCTAGCCCTGGGTTCTGCAGGCTTTTAGGAGTGAACCAATGGATGGAAGATCTCAGTCTGTCTCTGTCTGTCACTCTGCCTTTCAAAAACAAAAACAACAACAACAACAACAACAACAAAAAACAAAAAACAAAAAAACAACTTGCATCCCACATTGGAGTACCTGGGTTCATTTCCTGCCTGCGGCTTCTGATTACAGCTTCCTGCCAATGCAGACCCTGAAAAGCAGTAGTGATGAGGCTCAAGTAATTGGACTCCTACCACCCACATGGGAGACCCAGATGGGATTTGGTTCCTGGCTCTGATGTTGCCCAGCACTGGCTGTTAAAGGCATTTAGGGAATGAACTAGTAGATGGGAGTGTAGTATCTGTCTCTCTTTCTGACCTGCAAAAAAGATAAAGAATAAATATACACATACCCTAGCTGTTACAGGCATTTAGGGAATAAACCAGCCCCTGGGTGGGAGCATGTGTGTACTTGCTCTCTTTCTGTGACCCTCCAAAAAGAGAGGGAAAGAATATGTACTTATACACCTCAAACAGAGAAGATGATGTTTATGTTTCTGAATTATCACTATGCTCTAAGTGCCTATCATTTAAGACAGTGGAGTAGGGCTGGTGTTGTGGTGAAGTGGGTTAAACCGCCACCTGCAACACTTGCATCTCATATGGGCGCCAATCTGAGTCCCTGCTGTTCGACTTCCAGTCCAGCTCTCTGCTCATGCAACTGGAAAAGCAGCAGAAGATGGTCCAAGTCCCTGGGCCCCTACTACCCAAGTGGGAGACCTGGAAGAAGTTCCTGGCTCCTGGCCCAGCTCCAGTCATTGAAGCCATTTGGAGAGTGAACCAACAGATGGAAGAGCTCTGTCTCTCCCTCCTCTCTATAACTCTGCCTTTCAAATGAATGAATCTTAAAAAAAAAAAAAAAAAAAAATGGATCAGTTGCATACAGAAAACCATAATCTTTATGGACAAAACAATGGTAAGGAAAAAAAGCTTTTGAGATGGGTTCAGGCTTTAAAGAAAGTCTACAGATTACTTGGATTTTCTCAGGTTTCTGATGTCCTTTATCTGCTCTGGGTTGCTGTCCAGGACACCACGTCACATGTAGTTGTCTTATCTCCTCAGGCTCCTTTTGATTGTGAGTTTCCCAGGTTCCATGTTTTTGGTGACCTTGAGAGCTTTGACGAGTGCTAGTCATATATTCTGTAGACTGCCTCAATTGGGACTTGTCAAATGTTTTCCCTATGATTAGATGAGGTGTTTGGTTTTTTTTGTTTTTTTGGTTTTTTTTTTTTAGATTTATTTATTTGAAAAGCAGGGTGATAGAGACAAAGAATAAGATCTTCAGTCTGCTCATTCAGTCCCCAAATGCCCGCTGAAGCCAGAAGCCAAGAACTCCATCCAGGTCACCCATGTGGGTGGCAGGGACCCAAGAAGATTTGAGCCATCATGCACTGCCTTCCCAGGCCCATTAGCCGGAAGCTGGATTGGAAGGGGAGAAGGTGGGGCTCCAACTGCCATGCATGTGGGATTGGGGGATCCCAAGTGGTGGCCTAACCTGCTGCATCACAACACCCAGCCCTTTTGGGGAGGAAGAACACAGAGGGAAAGTGCCATTCTGTCATACTATGTCAAGAGTGTGTACTGTCAGCGTGACTTAACACTGCCGGTGCTGACCTTGATCTGCCTTGGAGTGGTTTATCCGGTTTCTCCACTGTGGACTCTTTGGAAGGAAGCCACAGTGTGCGTCACGTTCTGCCTCTGTGAGCATGGAGAATCTGTGTGAATGATTAGAGGTTCTGCATGGGAGATTTGTCTCGCCTGCCTTTACATGTTTATTGAGTTATTTGTATCTATCTGTGTAGGTAATGGGAAATGTACTTTATACTTTGGATTGTGTTCCAGTAATCTTTATCTCTTGCTCGAATTGTTCTGGCTTCGGTTATTGAGAACTTTTCACTTGGTTCCTGTGTCCCTTCGACATGTTCCTGTCATTTTGATATTTTGGTTTTTGATCATTTCCTTGCTTTCATAGAGGTAAAAGAAGAGCTACCCTTCACCCTCTGAAGATTTGTTGGCATTAACTGACTGTAGATAGATTAATAGGAGAAATGGTAAACAAATTTAACCTAATGTGCTTGGCTGGATAGCAATCACAGTTGTGTGGTTATCCAGTAACCTGGTGAGGTCCAAATGCTTATGAATTCTTCAGAGGGAGAGGGAAATGGGGAATGTGTCCATTTTGAGGGGCAGTAAATGATTGTAGTGAGTGCCTGGGCCCAGTGCTTAGACCATAGTTTATAGATGATTCTATGGAATTGAGTGGGCCTAGGAAACAGGCAATCACTTGTGACAGAATCTGTCTGGGGGTGGTTATATCCTTTAATCTTATGCAGATACGAGTTTGTTTCCTGAAGCTCAGGGACAAGACCAAAGGTGGTGGTTTTCTTTGGTGGTCCATCCTTTAGGCAGATGCGAGGATGTCAGAACAAGTATCTTCCTCCATCTGCTGCTATCTGAGGGCCTTTTATTTAAAATCATCAGCAAACCAGGGCACCATATTTTGGTGGAATTCACTTTCTGGCACTATAAAGGTGCTCTGGAGTTATTTTGTATGAATTTAGTTCCTTCAAAAACTTTTTTCCCGGAATGATACTAGAAACCAAGTTCTGAGCACTGAGTATGCTTGTTGCCGCTGAGCATCCTGCTTCTAGTGCCTCCCAGCAGACACAGCAAGGAGATACGTATGTGTATACCAGCCTGTGGGCATTCTCATGTCTGAGAATGCTTGTGCAAGCATAGGTATGTGTCCTTCTATTTATTAAGCTAGACATGAGTTTCTACTGCTGTCTGCAAGTCTGATCTAGTGACGTGGGTCATGCTGGCCTTCTCTCTTGTCTGAAACCAACAATGAGAAATCTTGTATCCATCATCCCATTTACTTAATTGTTCAATTCTAGTATGCATTGTTAAATTGTTAAGCCATGCATTTGGGATAAAACTTTATCATCTTTATCATCCAGAGTACAGTACCACATAGAGTTACTTCCTTTTTGCTGTCATTCTCACCAATTCCCCTCCTTTCCAAAATTACTTAGATCTGCAACTTTTTGCTCTGTCCCCTTCAGTGAGACTATCTTAGCCATTTATGATATGGTCAGATTCTTTGGTCACAGTCTACATTGCATACCCAACTATACATGTGATTTGTTTTAAAATTCACAGGCATTGAAGTTCAGTCTCTGTGCGATGCAGTTCTGTGGGCTTTAGCAAGTGTGTCACGTAGGTGCCATTTCAGTCTTTTTTTTTATTATTTTTTTTTATTTTTATTTTTTTGACAGGCAGAGTGGACAGTGAGAGAGAGAGAGACAAAGGTCTTCCTTTTGCCGTTGGTTCACCCTCCAATGGCCGCCGCGGCCGGTGTGCTGCGGCCGGTGCACCACGCTGATCCGATGGCAGGAGCCAGGAGCCAGGTGCTTTTCCTGGTCTCCCATGGGGTGCAGGGCCCAAGCACCTGGGCCATCCTCCACTGCACTCCCGGGCCACAGCAGAGAGCTGGCCTGGAAGAGGGGCAACCGGGACAGAATCCGGCGCCCCGACCGGGACTAGAACCCGGTGTGCCGGCGTCGCTAGGCGGAGGATTAGCCTAGTGAGCCGCTGCGCCGGCCGCCATTTCAGTCTTGTACAGAACAGTTGCACTGCCTTGAAAATGCCCCATGCTTCACGTTTCTGTCTCCAGATCCCTGGCAGCCATCGGTCTCTTAACTGTCTCTGTTGTTTTGCTTTTTCCCCATCTGTAGGGATGGCCACACACCTTTCCTTGTTGATCTCATTAATTTTTCATTCTCATCATGACCACTGAGGTAGCCATGAACTCTTTACACATGTGAAATTGAACCTGTGTCTTCTGTGAAGGCAGAGCTGGAGTGGGAACCCATGGCCTGTGCACCTTTCACTGTGCTGCCTGGGGCGTTGGTCCACTTCTCCAGCTTAGATCCTGTTTCCTCTGTGCTTTGCCTCCTGTTCATGAGAGCCTGTGTTGCACATGGTTGAGCATGGACTCCGGAGTCAGACCACCTGCATTCAGATCACTGTCTGCCATGTATCAGCCAGGCCCGGGACCTGTATACCTCCATCTGTAAGATGGGGAGAATGAGAGTTATTGGGGGAATTAATATTAGAGGTCACCTAGTAAACATATAAATGTTTGCCCAAAATAGGCAATTTTAAAAAATTTATTCATTTTTTAAAATTTATTTGAGAGGGGCCAGTATTGTGGTGCAGTGGGTTAATCTGCCACCTTTGACATTGGCATTTCATATGAATGCTCATTTGAGTCCCAGTTGCTCCATTTCCCAATCCAGATCCCTGCTGATGCACCTGGGAAAGCAGCACAAGATGGCTTAGGTCCGTGCCACCCACATGGGAGACCTGGATGGAATTCCAGGCTCCTGGCTTCAGCCTGGGCCAGCCTTGGCCATTGTGGCCATTTGGGAAGTAAACCAGCAGATGGAAGTCTCTTTCTGTCTCCCTATATCTCTGAGCTCTGCCTTTCAAACAAATAATTAAATAAATTTAAAAAAAAATAAATTTATCTGAGAGAGAGAGAGTGAGAACTCTCCCGCTGGTTCGCTGCTGAAATGCCCCAGATGGCCAGGGCTGGGTCAGACCAAAGCCAGGACCTAGGAACTCATTCCAAGTCTCCCATGTAGGTGGCATAATCACAATTACTTGGCACAGTCCCATGACAGCTGCCTCCTAGTGTCTGCACTAGCGGGACATTGGAGCAAAGAGCCGGTATTGAACCCAAGCACTCCAGTGTGGAACGCAGGCATCCTAACTGGCACCTTAACCACAGATGCTTAGCCCGGCTCACTCCAGCAGGCGAATATTGTTGGACTACTACTTCTATGCTCAGTACTTTTTAAGGAAAGCAAATGTTTAAGATCTTTGACCATGTTGGTTAAGGTGGCGTTCTGTGGAAACAGAGATGTGTACAGAGTTTCATTTCTTATGTGGAAGATCTGGGCCAAATGGGCAATACACTTGAGCTGTCACTTGTCAGTGTCAGCCCTCCAATGGGTATTTGTAAGCAAAATCCCAGTGCTAATTATGGCTGACACCCAGAGATTCTTGAATAGGCACACAGAACTTCCAGTAAAGTGAAGAATTCCAAGAGTTGGATTGTAGTAATCAGAAAAGGAATGGTAAAATAATATAGTTATTTTTGTCATGAGTGCAGTGCTGGAACTGAGCTGGGTGACTCCAGATGCACATGATCTTTATAATCAGTAAACTCTGGGTTTAGTCAGCGAGACTCAGACCTGGAATGAAGATGCTAATGTACTGAGATTAAAAATGGAGTGATGTCACAGGTAAAAACCCTCTGATGTCGTTTTCCTGTGTAAGTGTCCAAAGGCTATGCCTGTCTGACTCACACAAGCCACCATGTCATTGCAGAGCGCTCTGGTAATGGCTTTGTGTTCTTTTGTCCACTGGCCATTGTAACCACTTAGTCCTGTGTTGAGTAAGTCAGTGCCAGTTGATGCCAAGCAGCACTGCAGTGGTCGCGTGCATGTTACATGGGGGAATTAAGACAAGGAACATTACCTCAGGTGGGTCAGGACCTGCCCTGGAACACTGTCCTCAGCCAGAGCAAGGGAGGGCGTAGCAGGCCTGTTTCAGAACACCTCCAATTATAGCTGGTTTGGGGACCTGAAGGGTAACTTTTGTTTGCTTGTGTAATGAGGGAAAGGAGCTAAAGTTAAAGTCATTGTCTGAGGGGCAGCAGAGTTGAAAATGTTGGGTTGGGGTTTCTCAGTATGGGAGATGGGTTTGTGTCTGAGTAAAGTATCGGGAGTGATTTTCACCAAGTAGCCCCTGCACTGCAGGCTAAGCTGGGCTCTAATGGCGCATGCCCATCAGGGCTGGGCAGGCAGCACGGCCTGGGGAGTCAGTGGCTTCTGTGGGGCAGCTTGGGAAGGACCCTTTCCAGGCAGCCATCCCATAATTGTTTTGATTGATGGGATTGTGCAGTAGAAAGGCAGAGGAGTGGGGGATGCTAAGGTGACCAGAATTTTTTTCTAGGAGTCTCTTGTCTTGGAAAGACATGCAGGTGACATGTAGGAGCAAGAAACCCCAGACTTCTGTTAACATCTGGAGAGTTGCTCGTTTCAGGGAACATTTGATTTGTATTTGGGTTTCCTCAGTTGTGTTTTTCCTTCACTGGAAATACCCTACTGAAGCGATTGTCTCTTTATTTAGCTTTCTAGGTAGTTGGTTGAAATTCTTAACAATAACCCAAACAGGTATTGTGTGGAGAAAGAATAATTCGAGAGCCAATGTTATGTGCTGGGTAAGAGCTGGGCCTTGGATTCAAGGTCCAGGATTGATTCCTGGCCGTGCCGTTTACAAGCTTTGTGATTTTGAGTAGGACACTACTTAACCTTTCTGGCCTCGGTTTTCTCATCTATAAAATGGGAGTTGTAGCTGTCCTGTCTGTGTTAGCTGCTATTAGCACTGTTGTTCCTGAATCTGTTGGCCACCCAGTGACTGTGGTTGCAAGGTTGATTGTCCCTGCCACTGACCCTTTGTGGGCCCTCATATCAAGTTTGAGCAGTGAGGTGAGTGAGTGAACCAAACGTCTCGGCGGCAGGAGAGGTTTCCCACCTGTAACTTAAAACTTTCCTCTCTAGCAGCAGCTTCCCAGTGAATCCTGGGGACCTCACTTCCTTCTTTCTCATGCATATTTTCCTTCTCGGAGTCACTACCTGGGAAATAAAGGTCTTCTGTCTTAACGTTGTGAGTAGATAAACCTTTATTGATGGTTTCCCATTAACTAGAGTCTGTTAGCTGAGAGTCCTGATCTGCCACAAACAGGGCAATGTGTGGGCTTCACGATGAAGACAGACCTGCGGGGAAGCAGAGACTCAAAACTGTGTCTCTGGCTTGAGGAGAAAAAGGATTAACGAGAAAACCCTGGGACTGGAAATTTGCAGAGCAGCTCAGCCGGTTGAAAGTTGGCTTTGTTCAGTGCCCAACTTCTCAGATTTTCCTCGGCTGAGTGGGCTTGGTGGAGCACTGGCTTGAGAGTTGCTTAGCAACGAGAGCGTGTGGCCCCCGGTTCTCAAATAGGCCAGCAATCGGTCAGTCCCGTGCCTCCCCCTCCAGCAGCCCTCTGCTACTACCACAGCCTCTATTAACAATCAAGTGTGCGCGGGGGAGGGGCCAGAGCGAGGGGCGAGGTTTAATCATTGAACCAAGCAGGCTGTAAGTATTTAGTCTGCAGCACCCAGCTCCCCAGGAAGTCTGCCAGGCCGGGCTGTGAGTGTGCGGTTCACGGGGACCTGGGAGTAAGCTCTGCTGGGAAATCTCTGCCTGTCTTGGGAGAAGCCATCGTTGGGGAAGATGTTTGCGGTGCATTTGATGGCGTTTTACTTCACCAAGCTGAAGGAGGACCAGATCAAGAAGGTAAGGACTTGGCGCCGGAAGATGCCTGGGCCACTCCTTGCTGGCAGACTGACTCACTTCTGCCTGCAGCAGGAAGGATTTCAGAGAGTTTACTAGAAAAGGTCCTGGGAGCCCTTCGTTAAAAAAAAAAAAAACCTCACAGAAGGGAAAGTGGAAATAAACCGCTCCCCCCCCGCCCCCGCCCCGCGGATGACTCCTGATCCCTGAGTTGCACTGGGAACTTCCTGCCGTGTATGGGATGCAGAAGGTGATGAGGGGAAAGTGTTTGGAGAACCTGAAGAGGCTTGTGTTTGATATAAGGGGAAGGTCCATATGAGAGAAGAGAGTCCTTTTTTATTTCTTTGTTTATAAAATTTTATTTTATTTGGAAGGCAGAGAAACATAGAGAAACAGACACAGGAAGGTCTCATCTGCGGGTCCACTCGGCAAATGCTCACAAAAGCCAGGGCTGTGCCGGACCAAAGCTAGGAGCCAGGAACTCCATCCAGGTCTCCCGAGTACTTGAACCATCAGACCTGCTGCCTCTCACGGTGCACGTTAGCAGGGAGCTGGAATCAGAAAGAGCTGAGACTCGAACCCAGACACTTGCATACGGGATGGGAACATCCCAAAGGGCATCTTACTGCTGTGCCAAACACCTTCCCCAGGAGGGTCATTTTTAGAGACATTTTAAGAACTTTTGAAGCAGACCTGATTATATATTTGCATAAGCATGGACACCAAGATTGGTGTGAGTTTTAATGTACAATAATTGAGCTATTTATTGGCATGTGCTGTTTGCCAAGGGCATGCTGTCAAAGGTGTGCACAATTTGTCATTTTACCTGACGAACTTGTCTACAGAATTCCCTCCAGGGTGAGCTGGCTAGAGGTAGCTAAGGTTCAGTTAGATTCTCTTGAGGCAGTGCCAATGAGCTCAGCCTGCCTGTCTGGCCATGTGTAGCGTCTCTCAGGTTACAGATCACCGAAGTCCTCCTGGCAGGTAGATGGAGCAAAGGTCACCCAGGTGTTTAAGGTGGGACAAGGATTAGACCTGGGCTGGATGACTCCTCCTCCAGCATTCTTCCCATTGTGCCACGATGCCTTCCTGCTTTCTCCATGAGAGAGAGGAGGAAGCCTGGCTCCTCACAGCCCTCCTGGGCTGGGTGGGATAAACTCCCAGTAAATTCTAGGCATTACAGTTGGGGCTAGAGGTTACAGTGAATTTACAAATATTATTAACAGGGCGGACATTGTGGTGCAGTGGGTTAAGCAGCAGACTGAGACAGACACATCCCATATCAGTGCTGGTTCAAGCCCCAGCGTCTCAGCTTCTGACCCAGCTTTCAGCTGATGCACCTGGGAAGGCAGAAGATGGTGGCCAAGAACTTGAGTCCTTGCCACCCATGTGAGAGACTCAGATAGAGTTCTGGCTCCTGGCTTCAGCTTGGCTCAAGCCCAGGCTGTTGGGGCCATGTGGGGAATTGAACCAGCAGATGGCAGATTCACCTCCATCCATCTCTTTCTCTCTTCCTGTCTCTCTGCTTTTCAGATACATGAATATAAATCCTAAAAAACAACAACAACAAAAACCCGCTATAAACCAATCAGATTTAACCTCTCTGAGTTTTTGCTTACCAGTAAATTTAAGTAGGGAAGTGAGGAATGTTCCAAAGCCCTCCGTGAGCATTTGGCTTGCTGTTACTCCCTGCTCAGGAAAGAAGCGGCTCTCTTGCCCCCAGGAAGCGGTCTCTGGAGCCCTGAGACCTTGGGCCTGCTGTGGCAGTGAGCCTTTTGTTCTGCCCGAGGATGAAGTGGGACATGTTTGCTCACCAACCCAGGTGCAGGCTCAGGGGGCCCCTGCACTGATGTATTGCAGCCTTTGTCCATGCCTGGACTTGACCTTCCCTATCCTGCAGGAAGCAAGAAAGCCAGGAGCACTTTGTGGCTGCCCTAAGCAAGTGACCTGGGGTGATGTGGGGTAGTGGTGGCCGGGCTGAGTTGGGCTGCGCAGGACACGCCTCCACGTGGTGGTGACACACCTGGTCAGAAGGCACTGCGTGTTCTCCCTGTGGTCAGCTAGCCAGGTCTGTCTCTGTTGCCTTGCTTCCTGTTTCAGAACTGTCCAGATCCTGGGCCATGCTTGCCTGGGAGGGCTCCTGTTTTGACCCTGAAACAATTTTTTAAAAGTCTCTCCATACCCACCTTAAAACAGAAAACAGGAGAGAAAGAACAGAGAAGCCATGCTGGCAGCTTCTTTTCCAATTCAATATATTGATATTATTTGACCTATTGATGGCCCTGGCCGGATCTGGTCACTGACCTGAGATTGGTCATCTGAAAGAGCAGGGCGGTGAGGCTTCCAACGTGTATTTTTTTTACTGTCTAGCGAGTCAACATTACGAAAAGGTGGAAATGTCCCCTTTCCTTGCACCCCCTGTCACGTTTGCTTTGTGGAAACTCTTGTAGTCTCTCATCTCCACGTACATTGTCGCAGTTACCCTGATGGCGAGCTGGACACAAGCTCCCAGTCTTGGTACCTTTGTTATTACTGGGTTGCTTACCAACATTTCTCAGTAATTCTCACTGTGACATCTGCCTAGCATTTCATCAAACGGATGTACCATCATTTATTCCACCTTTTTCTTCTTATCCGACCTTGGGATACTTTTAAACATTCTTATATGTTGCCATGGTAGACGTTGGTCTGTATTTGTTGTTCTCCATATTTGGGGTTATTTCCCGAGTTCCAGAAATGAGACCACTGGGTCAAGGACTCTTGTTTTGTGGTCTGAGACCTTCGGACCCCATGGCCCCCTGCAGCTCCTGCATTTGTAAGCCAGCAGCCAGACTGGACATTTTTACCTTTACTCTTCTAAGTCAAATAAGCGACTTGACGGCTCTCTTGTCTGGAAGCTGTCAGCCGCTGCAGTGTGCGAGTCTTCTGTGACATGAGCCCCCTGCCCCAGGGCCTGCGGTGTGTGTCCCTGGTGACACGTGCCCCAGATCACCTGTTTGGATTTAAAGGGCAGCTTTCTTGTCTCAGTGTAACATTTCCTCCTTTCCTTGCAGCTATCAGACAAGATGCTGTGGGAGATACAAAGAGTAAACCAGAAACTGCCCGAATTGTCCTTTCTGTCCTAACTAACTTACTGAGAAACCCAAAGAGCTGACCCCGCTCAGCTGCAGCTGCAAACCATCCCAACAGGCCCTGGCACACGGGGGAGGACAGGAGGTAGCCACCCGGGGAAGCTCTTTGTCTTCTAGGCTGAGCAGAAATGATTGGTGGGCTCAGGGGCACTGTCTAAGGGGCTTTGGGAAGATAAAGGATGAAGTTCAGTTCCCACGCAGGGCAGCCCACCCTTCCCCAACCCCAATTACTGCGGTCACGTCCCTCCCGTCCAGTTTCCAACATCGTGTGTGGCTGTGCCAACCAATTAGTCGTGATGAGCCCGGGCTGAGCAGGAAGCCCTTAATAAAGCCTGACCTGGTTATGTCCCTGTCTTCCCAGCTACGTGGAAAGCGCAATTGTCCTTTGTTGTCAGCGGTGCTCTCCTGTGTTCTAGCCATGAGGCCATTTTGCTGTCGTCTCTGCATGGGCCCTGGACTGAGCTGGATCTTCTTGTCCCCTAAGGCCTGGCTGATGCTGGGCACCCGTCCTCGGACAGAGATGACGTGAGCCCCGTGGTTTCATGTCATTTGGCTGTCGGACTTGTGGATCCCACATGGAGCTTTGAGCCAAAACTGGGCTCTGGGGGTGTGGAGTGTAAGGGCTGCTTCCCACTCCCAGTTCTGCTCCGTTGGTGCTGCACAGTGGCTCTGAGCCCCATGTTCCTCATCTCTCAACCAGGGACGGTGACTTTGGCCTTACATAGCTGGAGCCTGGATGAGTTGACACACATGAGAGCACTTTGCAGATGGCAGCCTTAGGAAAGAAGTGCACTTCCTCCAGGAATGTGCCTGGGGTCGAGCTTCCTGTGACCTAGAGGAACGGAGAGGGTGCTAAGTGTACAAAACAGGGCTGGCAATTCAGAGCACGTATGTCCTGCCCCTCCCGTCCCCTTCCACAGTCTGTCCCATTCCAGGGAGCCCTGCCTGGGGAGGCAGAAGACCCCCACCAGTCAGTGAGCATGAGCTTGGGGAGGGAGCTCTTGATGTGACATGCCGCCTTCAGGTGGGCTGAGCACAGACTATGTGATTGTATAACTTCCCTCCTGTGGAATGGCGGTCCTTTGCCCCACTTTTTGGTGACTTGAATCACATCCACTCATTTCCTCCTTTAAGATTTGCACTTCACTGCAATGGAACCACCTCAGTTTAGCCAAAATGGAGATTTAAAAGGACTAGATCTTAGAGATTACAGCTGGAAATGGAATTTAGCTCTGAGCTTCCCAGCTGCCAGTAAATGAAAGGAAAGAGCTTGGCTTTATCTGCTTTCGTCATTGGACAGAAGAAAGCTTCCATGTTTGGGAACTGAGGATTCAAGCATGAACCAGTTTATTGTGGTGGACAGGCAAGGGGAAAAACTGTGACAGCCTGGGACTGGGAGCCCCGGAACCTGGACACTTCTTAGCTTGGTCCCTCTGTTGTCCCATCAGAAACATGGGAGAACCACATTTCCCGTGGAGTTCACTGTTTGAGGAATAGTCCACACCTTTCTCAGCTCCCCATTCCATTCCGGTCTCCCAACTCTGTACTTTGTCCCCAGCCTGACCACTGGGGAACGCACGCCGTGGGCCCACCGCAGAGTCGGGAATGCGGCTTCACGGCGGGCGTGGGGAGTTACAGCCTTGACTGGAGGGCAAGCTCCCCAGCAGCCAGCCCTGGCCACTCCGGTGTCTGTTCCAGGTGGACAGGTTCCTGTATCACATGCGGCTCTCTGACGAGACCCTATTGGACATCATGGCGCGGTTCCAGGTTGAGATGGAAAAGGGCCTGGCAAAGGACAGCAACCCCACAGCCTCGGTGAAGATGCTGCCCACCTTTGTCAGGGCCATTCCGGATGGCTCAGGTGAGTGGGGCTGGGGACTGCCAGGGACCCCGACCCCGGCTTCTCTTGGCCTCCTCCGATATGCCCCGGCTTACCTAGGCCTCTCTCATACCCCCTCCCTCTGCCTCTGTCCTACAGGACCCCTTTTGTCCCACAGCCCAGAGTGCCTTGTTCTCTCCCTGTCTTGGCCTCCTGCACCTTCCCCTGGTGAGCACTAGCTTAGACTCTCAATCCCAGCACAGAGATCATCCCCGTCCTGGGCCAAGTGCCTGTCAGGGCCTTCGTCATCCTCCTGTGGGTGAGAGCCTCCTCCTTGAGGCCAGGATCTTGTTCCCTGCCATGTTCCCAGCTTCTAGCAGCATAGCACCTGATGCACACGAAGCCCTGGCATGTTTGTTGAAGGGACCATAAATGGCATTTCCCAGGTGTCTGGATCCTAGAGTATTCATAGCAAGTAATGGAGGGCAGTATGATGCCATTGAAAAATACTAAGTGAGATCTGCTTCTAGCTCAGCTCTGTCACTCCTCAGTGGCATTCGGCAAGTGTTTAACCTCAGTTTCTCCATCTGTAAAACGGGAGAGTTGGACTGCATATTCATTTCCTGTTGCAGCTACATCATCTCACCACAAAGGTAGTGAGTGAAAACAACGTTGATTTATTCTGTGACGGTTCTGGAAGGCAGAACTCTGAAACAAGTGTCAGTGGGCTCCGGTCAAGGTGTTGGCAGGGCTCCTTTCCTTCTGGAAACTCCAAGGAGATTGTGTTTCCTTGACTTTTCTCCTAGAGGCCGCCTAGCTTCCCCTGCTCATGCTTCTTCCTGTCTTTAAATCTCTTGACTCCGACCCTCTGCCTCCCTCTTCCGTCTCTAAAGGCCCTGTGATGGCAGTAGGCCTGCTTGGTTAAGCCAGGATAATCTTCCAACATCCAGGTCGGCTGATGAGCAGTTTTGATTCCAACTGCAACCCTAGGACTGGGACGTGGACATGCCCAGCGGGGGGACAAGGGGGTGGGGTAGGGGCGCATTATTTTGCCTCCTGCAGCCTAGAGCTCTTTAGAGGGGATCTATGGGGTCCCACCCAACTCTTCCATACTTAGCCTCAGTCAGAAGCTCTAAGAAGGAGAAGAACTGATATCTTCTATTGTCATGTTTTGCTTGGGACTCCCTGTGTCACACAGTACCCATGGAACCCTGTGAGTAGCTGTCAGTAGGACAGGTGACAGCAAGAGCCTTCCCCAGTGCTCAAACAGGCTTCTGCAGTAGCCTCAGGCTCTTTTGGAGCAGGGACTAAAGCTTGGGGGGCTCTAGGATGGGGTGAGGGAGCCTTCCATTAGATTAGCTGGGTTCTAGGCTCCTCTGGGGTAATGCAGGGGTCAAAGGAACTTGGCTCTGCTGGTCCGAAGGCCCCTGGGACACTTGATAGGAATATCTTGCTCCCTTGCGGCAGATGGATGATAGGGGTGGCTGTGAGCCCCCCCACCATGGAGGAACAGAAGCTCTTTTTTGAATTCACAGCCCTATCACTGACGCTGCTTGATGAGAGTGCTAAGGGCACTCTGGTCCTTAACAGTGCATTTAGGGCCATTCAGAGGAAGCACTGAGTCATGGGGTGTGTAGGGACAGAAGGGAATGCCAGGGCTAAGTCCTCCTGGCTTCCGGAGCTGCGGCCTCTCCTTGGGATGCAGACAAGGTGTGTCCCAGAACCAGGAAAAGTGGCCTTGGATGATCTGAAGGCTGTGGGGAGGAGGTGCTTTCCTGGCCCTCCAGCCAGATAAGTTTAGAAGCGAAACTGGCTTGAGGCTAGCACTGTGGCGTAGCGGGTAAAGCCACTGCCTGCAGTGCCGGTATCCCGTATGGGCACCAGTTCGAGTCCTGGCTGCTCCACTTCCAATCCAGCTCTCTGCTGTGGCGTGGGAAAGCACTAGAGGTTGACCCACATCATTGGGCCCCAGCCCCCATGTGGGAGACCTGGAGGGAGTTCCTGCTCCTGGCTCCTGGCTCTGGATTGGCTCAGCCCTGGCTGTTGCGGCCATTTGGGGAGTGAACCAGCAGATGGAAGACCTTTCTGTCTGTGTTTCTCCCTCTCTCTGTGGCTGCCTCTCAAATAAATGAACCTTTTTTCTTTTTTTTTTCTTCAAAAAAGAAGTAACTGGCCAAGGTCTTTAAAATTTTTGTATTTAATTGATTTGAGAGTCTGTCTGTCTATCAATCAAGAGACTTTCCCATTTGCTGGAGAATTCCCCAGATATCTGCAATGGCTAAGGCTGACGCTGGCAGCTAGGAATTCAATCCAGGTCTCATACATGGGGAGGAGGAACCCAGTCACTTGTTTGTTTGTTTATTTTTGACAGGCAGAGTGGACAGTGAGAGAGAGAGAGACAGAGAGAAAGGTCTTCCTTTGCTGTTGGTTTACCCTCCAATGGCCGCTGTGGCCGGCGCGCTGCGCTGATCCGATGGCAGGAGCCAGGTACTTATCCTGGTCTCCCATGGGGTGCAGGGCCCAAGCACTTGGGCCATCCTCCACTGCACTCCCGGGCCACAGCAGAGAGCTGGCCTGGAAGAGGGGCAACCGGGACAGAATCCGGTGCCCCGACCGGGACTAGAACCCAGTGTGCCGGCGCCGCAAGGCGGAGGATTAGCCTAGTGAGCCGCGGCGCCGGCCTGGAACCCAGTCACTTGTGACATCACCACCACCTCCCAGGGTCAGCATTGGCAGGAGGCAGGAGCCCTGGCTGGGACTTGCACCCAGGTACTAGAGTGCAGGACACAGATGGCTTCACTGCTAAACACTAGCTCCCAGCTGAGCAGGTTTCAGAAAACTCTTCTTGCTCAGGCCAGGAGACGCCTTCGTCACTCTCTCAGGACCTCTCTTCACAGGAGTCTCGCCTGTGATTCAGTGGTGGTGTGGTCCCTGGGTCAGGTGCCCTTGGTGAACCCCAGGACCACTGTGCTCCCACTGTCATTAGTAAGAGGGAGTGGCTATTAGTGAAGGGGACACGGGAATCCCCCTGACAAAAGTTGGAGACCTTAAACTACTGAATTAAAGTGGCCAGAGACAGATTAATAGGAGAAAGGGCATACACATTTATTAACATGCACATGTGCATGGGAGCCATGCAACAAATGAAACATGGGGCAGACATTCAACCTAGTGGTAGGATGGTGGTTAAGTTGCCTGCATCCCATGCCAGAGTGCCTGGGCTTGATTGCTGACTCCAGCTTCCTGCTAATGCAAACCCTGGCAGGCAGTAGTGATGGCACAAGTGATTGAGTTTCTGTTGCCCACATGGAAGATCAGGATTTTGCTTCTGGCTCCAGCTTCGGCCTGCCCCAGTCCTAGCTATTGTGAATCAGAAGATGGGAGCTTTCTCTCTTCCTCTCCTTCTCCCCCTCCCTCTCCCTCCCTCTCTCTCCCCCTCCCTCTCCCCCCTCCCCC